AAAGGAGTATTACTAGCAAACTACATACAAAATAATCTCTAATATTACGCACTAACTCTTGGATAATTATCCAAGATGTATTAGAATCCATGTGTGTATTAGTAGTATGCGACATTATTTTGTGAATTATAATTATATATAAATATATATAATGTCGCATACTACTAATACACACACATGTTTTTTATCTGGATTAAAAAAGATTTTAAATTAAAATATTAAATAAAATACCGAGTAATTGCGGGTTACTTTGACCTAAAATATGCACTTTTTTTTCGAATCAAATTGTAGCTTCTCCTTGTGATGAATATGTCACGTTTATATCTTTCCATTGTGAACTTTAAGGTATAAGTTACAAAGTTAACATACGAAAATAGGAAAAACTAATGTTTAAGGGTTAATATTTTTTTTTTATTTTGGGTCAAAGTTGGTCTTAGAAGAGGGTTACTTTAGCTCGGTGAGTTTTTTCTGCGAAAAAAACACATTTTAAGCCATGTTAAGGTTAAGTAACCCTTTTATCAGGTCACCATTAGCATACTTAATACAAAAATGGATGATTTTTCCCAAAAATAATTTAGTTAAATAATAAAAAAACGAATTAATTTTTATTAATCAAACGTGAAACGAAATATTGACAAATTCTGAATTTCTTCAGTAAAGCTACATAAAATATTTTTACTTTGGTAAGTAATTAAATTTACTTAACTACAGGGACTTTGTAGTAACATAATAAAATTATAACATAACTGCCCCTTGCTGATGAAGATAAGGTATGTTTGATTGCTTTTTCGTCTGTTTTTTGTTTTATTGTTTTGCAAGCCCTGCTTCTATCAGATCAGCAACGCAAATGGACTTGAAGTTAAAGAACATAAAGTAAGAACATGAGCTTTTCTTAACAACTTTTTTCATTGCATACCAAACTAGTAGATGCATGTGTAAGGCTGGAAATTTAGGAAACAAAAACGTATAAATTCTAGAACATACGAGTAAATTATAAAGTGGCGTTAAAAGATGTTAGTTAATTTAAAATACATGTAAGAAGTAGATTGAGGTAGTTAAGGCCGTCTTGAGATTGTTTTTATATTTATAATTTGCGCTAAATTTGTTTATGTTTAGTAGGTATAGTTTTATTAAATTATTTCTTAATGTAAGGTTGACGGGTCACTTTGACCTAAAAGACAAAGTTACCCAAAAACATGGGCTAAAGTATACCTCCGTATCTTTCCCTAAATATAAACAAGTAAATTTGTGTAAAACCTTTTGAATTTATCATCAACGTACTCTCATTAACATGATCAAAAACGTTAAATATAGAAAAAATAGTAAACTTACCGAAAACCACAGTTTTACGAGAAAGTTTGCGCATGAACTTGCGAAATATTTCAGTTACAAAAAAACCCGCGTAACAATGACAGGTTGATACAGTAAAACAACACCACACTACGCGCCTATATGGCCATCTGTGATTTTCAACTGGAACTATTACGCTCACCCAAGAGATACTGATGTGGCGGCAAGTTCAAACTTTTTTCTGATTTGGGTCAAAGTTACCCGCCCGAGCTAAAGTAACCCTCAATTACGTACCTTTAAGGTTTTGTACTGTAATATGGATGATGGGCTAAATTAAACGAAATTCTATTAAGTCCGTCAGTTAGATTACCAAAACGTAATGGTCTTTGTAAATAAACCACAAAATTACAAAGATAAAGCCTGGGACTGGAGTCTCGTGTCGTCACTTCTAAGTGCGACATTTCAAATCAATATATCTCTGTAGGTACTTTTTGAGAATAGACGAAAAGAAGTTAGTCATCTTCCCCCGTCAAACCATAGGGTTTGACGTAGGTACCTACCGAAACACTGAGGAACTAAAAATAAATAAATGTTGGGTTGGTGAGATCCAACATGCTCACTTCTCAAGCTCTTTATTCTCATTTATTTTATATTTTACTAACATCAACAAGATCAATAGACGAACTCATTGAAAAGTATCTTACAAATAATGTAGAAGCAAACTAAGTGTAATCCTAATTATAGATGTTACTCAATAGCTCGCGTTAAGCAAAAAATATCGCAGAACTAAAATAATTAGTAGTAAAATATAAAATAAAATAAAAATTATTAAATTGTGTATTTTAGTCGGTTCAATAGTAGGAAATATCGAAAAGTAATGGAAGTTAAATGAATATTATAAAAATTAAAATTGAACTTAATAAAACTAGTGAATATTAGCTACCATAAAATTAGTTACAAAATCGCAACGAATGATCGCTTTATCATATATCAGTATATATAATCAATAAATATTACTTTTTTTATTAAAAAGGTATCCCTTTCTGTTATGACTGATAAAGCGATAAGGGCCGGTAAAATTAAAGCCCTACTAGAAGAAGGTTGTTCGCAAACTTACGAGTCTCAGGGGCTAAATGTGAATCTTTCAACTGTCCAGAGGACTTAACAACTGTATGAGGAGACCGGTTCGGTCAAAAGAAGACCAGGTTCGAAAGCGATGCACAGAAGAACCAAGGGTTGACCGCTTTTTGGTGAGTCAGGCGTTGCGGAATCGTAAGGGCGTCAAGTGTAGACCTGAAGGAGAGCATTGAAGAAGTCATCTTGAGAATGGTCAGAAGGAGGCTCTTGGCTACCCCTATCAGGTGTTACCGCCCGGCCCGGGGCCCTAAATTACTCCGTGAGTTCCGTATTGCTTGACTTCAGTTTGCTCGAAACTGCTTCATAGTCTCTGGAAGACTGGGATAAAGTATTGTTTTCTGATGAAGCTAGAATATCTTTGTGTGGAGGGACCGACCGACGCCGGCGAGTGCTGTGAAGACCACGGGAGCGCTATGAGGAAGTGCGTTTCGAAGAAATCACTCCTTACGGCGGAAGCTCCTTTATAAAATATATATGGTAGCAATTAGTAGCGTTAGTTTTCATAGAAAATGGAAGAATAAATGCACACCGGTACATAAAGGAAGTCCTGATTCCATTTACACAGCCCGCATTGACTGCACTTGAGGAAGTTTCATTTTTATGGACGACAATGCTCGCCCGTACATTTCTGGAGACGTGGAAGCGTATATGCAAGAAGTTGGTGTCCGTCGTTTAGATTGGCCAGCGGGAAGTCTTAACTTCAGTCCAATTGAGCATGTCTAGGATGTTCTAAAGAGACAGGTAAGATCAATGCAACCTGCTCCACAAAACATCAGGAAGATAAAAAGAGTCATTGCAGAAAAGTGGGAACGTATTCCTCAAAACGTTAATAACAACATCGTGGAAAGCATGCCCAGAAGGATTTTAGCTGCGTCAAGAGTTTTGGCAAGAGGTCACGCTCGTTATTAGGTTTTACATTTTTAACTTTAATTAATTAAAAAAAAAGTAAAACTAGTTACTTGCCTAATTGCTGTGTTTGACCGTGTATATATCGGATTTAAAGAATTCTTCGAAATTTTATAAAAACAATTGTTTAAATTCATTTCACGCGTATTAATTTAGACCATTATAAGTATACAGTCTACGTTAAACAATTAAAGGAGATTGCTCAGCTTCCATACATGTTTGGCCTAAAAACCAATAATCATGAAAAATTGTTTCCTAGATTCGAAATTATATATAAATTACTGTAGAAACGAATATTATTGACGGACACCCCTGAGAACTTCTATAAACTATATACACTGAACATATTAAAATAATAAACAACAAATAAGTTATATAGTAAACTTGGGAAATCAAGCCAAGTACCGAAATTATGGATTAGATTCAGGTATATAGAGCATGTACATTAACAGATAGTTGTCTGTTTTTAAAGTTAATGCATAAGAGTAACTTTTAAAATCAGGTGTCATTTCCAGTTATAATAAAGTACTCTGTGACAGAAACTGTGTGATGATTGTGAATGAGCCACAGATTAGAGAGAATTTTTAAACTCTCGTTAACCAAAAAAGCTAAGAGATTTAGGTTCTATAGCTGCGATATAAAGCGATCATTCAGTAGCTTCATTATTTTTGTTATGTTTTTAAGATAACCATATTTTAGATTATTAGTGTATCAAACCTTATAATTTTATTTATTTATTAATTTATAGTCAGGGAACGTAGGCCCATAGATAGATATACCTTAAAGTTTAACATATATACAGATTATAATGTGTTTATGGAGGTGTTTGGCGAAAAATGTATGGCAGTAGACTTTATGATGTCGCCTACCATCTATAATAATTGTCGAAGCACATTTGCATCTAGTGAAAATGATAATATAGTTGTGGATATTAATACCACAGTGTAATAAAAAAAATGATTTATTTTATCGATCTTTACAAAATAGATTTGTTTTTATGTTATATAAACAATTTCGATTAGTCTTTGGCTGAATGTTACTACACCCATAGCCATTAAAAATGATTCGTATGTTTTCCAAACCGTTAAAATTAAAAGTCCTTTTTAAAGTAAATATATTATACAAAGGTGTCCGTTGAAATCTAATGACTGTAAATTAAATTATAAATTACGCCAAGAATTACCGTGTATGTCAATATTTTTTGTGCATTTAGGCCAATTTGAGCAATCTCCTTTCATTGAATTATCTGAAATCGATCTTACAACGTAAATTTCCGTGGTTGCCCGTTTTTTGTTGCAAATGAGTGTATTAAATTTCATATATATGTATTACATAAGTTATGTTTTGCTTAAAATGTAAAATTAAACTTAAACTTCCAACCGCAGAATAAAATTGACAAGCAGTATAGAATTATGTCAAGCAAATCGGGGGCTATAAATTATCATTTTAAAATAATTTGAAAATAACATATTAAATAAAATTAAACAGGCTAGAGTGTATTATTTTTAATAAAACTTCAAACTTGTATGCAATAGGGTATTATCTTAACATAATACTGTTTAGAATACTCACAATCTTATATATTGCCTCGAAATAGACGACTGGGCAAGTCATCTCGCAATGACATATGTGATATGCTACTGTCTTGACTGTCACGAAAATGGCATTCATGAACCGTCAAGAAAGACATGTATTACTATTATTCAAAAACTGCATATTTAGAATTAAAATAAAATTGTATTTTGTTTGTGACGTGCGAAATGTTGTCTCCCCTGATAGCCTCCCTTGGGGAGACATCAGAACTTAATTTATAAATTGTATTACTAGGGGAGCCAAGGCCCGAAGGAGAAATTTTTACTAGAAAATAATTCCACTCGGTTCAGTATTCAGACGGGATCCTTACTGGAACCTGGTTGGAGTAAAACTTTTTCTAGTAAAATTTTCTTTAGATTTTAACATCTAGCAGTTAAATACTTAAAAATATAGTAACATAAATATCTTTTTCTTCATACAAACCAGAGAGATGCAGTTTATTTAGAACGATCTAATAAATGTAGAGTCCAAGAAACGAATGACTCATAAAGCGATAATGGAACTCTATTGAAATTTATTATCTACAGTCTCCAATTGATTTAATAACGCATAAGAAATATTTTCACTGTGATAAATGCTTTAAATATACAAATATTTCGTAATTGTTATTTATCATTGCGGAAGCTAGTGGTCTTTTTGTAATTTTCAATTATTCCTTTTCTTTGGGCTCAAGGCAACAACAAGCCTCGCTAAGTGCTCAGGTAAGCTACTCCTTTACCCCATCATTAATAAATACCTAACAAATAAACAAGCTTGAAAATAAGCTGGCCATGTTGTTGGAAAGCGGATTTGTGGTATAATGCTCTCAGAGTGGAGACCGTAAATAGAGAAATACCACCCGTCCAAAGCCAGCATTAGTAGTGTTTAATCAGGAAGGGCCACTTACAATATAATTTTTAAAACCAATTGAGATTTATCTTTTAACCCCGTTTAATACGTCATTCCATTTTTTTCAATTATTTAAAACAAATAGAGGTAGATTAGCTTCTTTTAAAGCTTTTAGACTCTTTGGCCAATTTCACCTAAGTTTAAAAAAACCAACAGGCTTAGATGAATGATTGGTATTTCTTCTACCACAGGGAGACCAATCATTTATCTATGCCTAAAGCTATGGGGTTGTAAGAGTTTGACATATATCTGAAAACGATGTTTGTGATCATTTTCATAAAACCATAAAAAAATCTCAATATAGCAACCACGTCGCAACGGGGTGGAAATAGAAATAAAAGAATATCATGGAGTGTGGCAGTTTTTTGGGCCAGTTAAAAATCTGTACTTAGCATGATATTTCAAACCATTGTTGATAAACCGACACTTTAGTTTGTCAGACAGTGTCAACCAGTGTAAAAAAGTGTCTTAAGTGTAGTTGCAAAAATATACTAAATTCTTAGGAATGAACTGGCATCTGTACTAATAAATTGAGGCGTTAGATGTTATTTGATGAATAGTGACAAAATCAGCCGTCGTCAACCTTTTTCTGAATATGTTCAACAGAACCATGTTTTCATACGATTTCAATATTCCACGTGATATAACTCATATCGCACACATGACAAAGACAGTTTTTGTCACAAACATTTATATCACTAAAGACCCTCATCCTTTTTAACATAACTATAAATACTAGCGAAAACAGTTTACCTTCTTATTCACTCACTGAAAACAAATCAGTAAACTACTCGGTATACTTGTGAAAGTGTTTCTAATAATAAACTAAGTAAAGAATGGTGATTTGTGTTTTTATTTTTACCTCGATTTCAAGGAGCCGTGAGGGTTCAAATTACGATATGAAAATAAAATCCAACATTACACCTCATTTTGAGTAAGTAATACTATAACACATTATTTTTGTTACTGTTGTTAGCCTGATCAGATTTTTTTCAAGCAGAAATAAGAATTCCTTAGCAGTTTAAGCTAAAGATCCCTTACGTTCGTCATCCCTGCTCTCTCATTAACGTTCATTATTTTGACACCATTGCGTGGACCACACAGACGCGAAGTGATGAGGTTGGTCCCCTGTATAGTCGATCAGTAGCTCGGCCGCCTCCGCAGGCGTGCTGACACGTCCGAGATGGCAGCCTCACATACCGGCCAGAGCATCTAGTGCAGACCCGTCCCTCCCCGACAACGGGATGGGACCAAACCCAAAAGATATTTACTTCCTCCAGCATATCTACTCGGGCCGCCATGGCTGCACAGACGAGAGGACGTTTGCTCCTTTTATTGTTCTGTGTACTTAACAGTGGGAGAGGGGTCGGTGAGTAAATATTGAATGTTGTCTAAATTACACTTATTTTTGTTTCGATTAAAAGGGTCGTGACCGTGCATACATAAAGGACACCTGCATAATTAAGAGGTTCGTTGGTTATTATTTTGAGGGGAGATATTGCTTTATAAAAGCGCGGAATACTTACGCAAAGTTTATTCAGTCTTCACTTTACCGGGTGCTGTATTTTTTTTAATTTATATAAAATAGAGACCATGGACAACGCATGTGTTGTATAAATGTTCGCATTGAATAATGATTAAAGGTAGCGCACATATCAACGCGGAAAGGGGTCGTCACCGTATCAATGGCACCGTATCAATGGCACCGTACGTCTGCAGCGACCAAAAATCAAGCAAAAAAACGTCTATGAAAATAATGATTCTGTAGGACTGACATTTGGTTGGTTTAAAGAATGCCATAGTTAGTTAGTTAGTTCTTCAGGGCGGTTTCCGCACTTAGTCCTAATTATTGGACCATTGTGCGTGTCTCAAAACATTCCCGTTTACTCCAGCCAGCCTATATCGGTCCAGAAGGAAAGCAATCTTCGTAGACTGCTGCAAGCTTCTGGAAACGATTCTGGTGACTGGAGAAGTCGTGCCCGTTGGTCGGCCACACTCCTGCATTCCATGATGACATGATGTGGCGTTTTCTCTGCCTCCATGCATCCTCTGCAGGGGGCTATCCGTTACTCCTATCGTATATAGGTGTTTGTTTAGGGGACAATGACCAGTCAGGGATCCTATAATCCTGCGAAGTTTGTCCCTATTTAGTCTGGTAAAGGTGCGGGCAAAACTTTTATTTGCCGCCGGAACCGCGTTTTTCGTTTGCCGGCATCCTGTTTTAAAAATAATGAATGCCATATCCAAAAGTAAAAACCGATCGAATCTTAATCTTTTTTTTTCTAGATGACAGGGAAATCTTCGATGTCCTCTCCGTAGTACGGAACGACCAGCTGCCAGATGGCGTCACTCGGATCCCTGGCCGTTGCCAGTCCCCCTCCACTCCCGAAGACCAGTACACCGGCTACAGCCTCAACGAGAACGCCACGTTGCATCAACTGTCAGCAGGGATGTTCTACAATACCTTTCCCGAAGACTTCTCCATTTTAACAGTTTTACGGTTACCAAGTAAGCATACTCACTTTTTTTATAAATTAGAACTTAAGGATTCAATAGGCAACATTATGATAACGTCATTATTAGCAAATTATTGTCTCCACTGCTAGGGTACAGGCCTTACATGTAAATGAAAGTCTTCCGAATCAAAGAGCAGATCGAGAAAATTAATCTTTGGTCACCTATCCTATGACCGGCCATTGCGAAAGTAGCTTAACTTCCAAGATTCCACATTCATATTTTACAATCTGGCGCCCCGGACCACTTACAATTTGCACCCATGCCTTTATATGGCTTCTGCTCGCAGCACTTGCAGCCACCCACGCAGTCTACCGCCCCGGGCTTTCTGGGTGGTGGGGTAAACATACTAATGGCTATATCCAGCTTCTCTTATTCAATGTTACTATCTGAGCTGAACCCTTTTAGTTATGTATGCAATTGAAGTATTATCAATTCTTAATTTTCGTTACGATAAAAATGGAAACCGATAAGTTTGAGATAGTTAAATATTTTATTACATACTTCTTTAGCAGAACTGTGGTGTTTCATCGAAAGATATTCTTCTTTTTTATGAATAATCATTGTGGTTCTGATAGAATATCTAAAAAATATTTTAAACGTAAACCAGCAGTTTGCTTTTATTAAAAAAATAAGGAAATGTCATTTCAAATGACCAGGCACAGCGAAAAGTGCTTCTGGCTGCTAAAGGATGTGTTTTAATGTGGTTTTTAATGACTCGCGGACAAGTTATGTTTGTACGTCATTCTTTTTTTTAATTGTCTGAAATATTTGTATCGTATTCATTGTTTTAAGCTATATCGATAAGGTCTCAATCCCATAGGCGTGTTATTATCGGTTGATAATATCGGATGCGCTATCTGTTTTAGTACATTATGTATGAGAACGAAGTTACACACAGCTGCGATAAGTAATAACGATGCAATAGTATGACGAAATATCGTAATAACGCATCTGAAAAAAACGCGCCGATGTGTCAAACTGCAAGCGGTTAAGGAAGTTTTCAAGCTACGGAATAGGACCTGCTTGCCAATTTGCTCCAATATCGTAACAAGGTTCGCAACTTTGCCAATTGCTCTAAATTAAGACAGTGTGTTGAGACTTTAAATGGCACGTACTCAGTTTAAACTTTCTAGAATTCTATAAAACACCCACTGCAAACAATACTATTAGGTATTAAGAAACGTTAAGTTCTAAAAAATAAAACAACATAAGCTCAAAACTTACTTTGCCTGTCGAGTAAATAATAGGAATATAAAGGCAAATATTTTGTACTTCATGAATCAAAACTCATTTGCATCAATTACTCAATACTATCAATACCTGCTCTTACCAGGCCACTCAGAAAGTTTATCGAAAAAAAACTTTAAAAGTTAGAAGAAAACATCTTTTTATAATTGAAAATGGATAACAAATGCCTATTGCAGAAATTTTCTATGCAACTGGCCCGTCGTTTACAACTTTCAAACTATCCTGTCGGTATCGCCGACTCGAGAGGTCCCGGGTTCAAATCCCGGTGGGGGCAGATGTTTGTGTGATGAACACGAGCATTTGTTCTCCAGTCATGGATGTTTAATATGTATTTCTATATAAATATACTTATATGTGTACTGTGTATGTATTCTATCCGTTACCCTAGCATCGCATAATACAAGCCTTACAGTGCTTACTCTGGGCTAGGCTAATTGGTGTGAGTGTTGGAAATATTGATTTATTATTATTTATTTTATAAAAAAAAAATGAGTGCGTGTACTTATGTAGGCGCGTGAGAAGTTATCCTTCTTTCGCATCGTTTAAAATTAGTTTTTAATTGCATGCAAATAATTAATTACAATAAATTAATAAAAAGTCTGGAGAAGGACACAGTCAATAAAGTTCAGTTTTAATTTGAAAAAATAAATAAATAATCAAAATATTCAATTAAAATCGCTACTGAATATAATTTATTAGAACATATGTGATTTGCACTTGTATGAAACTCAAACACGTATTCCGAATATACAAACTAGAAACATGTGGATAAATATTATAAATATGAATACCTATAACTGTTACTTTATTACAAAAAAAAAAGATGTGGTTTTTGGTTCTACTACACCAATGGTCAAGAGATGGCGCTGTAGTCTCCTGAATCGCGCTTTGGTTCCGTTGTTCCAGATTAATAAATACTTTTGATATTATAAATATGAATACCTATAACTGTTACTTTATTACAAAAAATAAAGATGTGGTTTTTGGTTCTACTACACCAATGGTCAAGAGATGGCGCTGTAGCCTCCTGAATCGCGCTTTGGTTCCGTTGTTACAGATTAATAAATACTTTTGATAGGCCTTTACAATGCAGTTGTTAGCACCCACTAAATAGAGATTCTATTTCTATTTTGTTGGTAGATTTTCTTAATATGCGGTAAACACAAAAGTAACAGCATGAAGTTGGTCGCTAAAGCGACCAACTTCATGCTGTTAAAATTTTGTGTTACAGTGATGCGCGCGCATCTTAAAATTTCACTCTCATCATTTTTTCATAACGCGCCTAAAGAAGTATAACTTCAAAAATTAAGTGAGCGAACGTTAGTACATATCACGTCAAACTTCTAATCCGTTCTGAAGTTGCTTCGCGCAAGTTTACAGTTATTTTACAAAATCTTCGACCAACTGTTTTTTGCATCTAATATATTATGAAGACAAAGCCTAATTTTTAGAATGGCTATGAATGCCAGCCACTTAAAACGTAAAATGACTTAAAGTAGTATACCCAAACAGCAGAAAGTATATAGTAATAAGTATTCGAAAAATGAAAAACAAGCATTTCTAAAATTTAAAAATTATGCTTAGCAAATTTATTTATTGCTCATTTAGTAGTAAACCGTGCCTACTGAAATAAATTATACTTTTTTTATATAATAATCTAACATGTTTTCTAAATATAGTGACTGAATAAACGTTTCTATAACTATATAAATAAAATAAATAAATATTGCTCACACTCGCACCAATTAGCCTAGCCCCAAAGTAAGCACTGTAAGGCTTGTGTTATGGGATACTACGGTAACTGATAGAATACATATATTGTACATATATAAGTATATTTATATAGAAATACATATTAAACATCCATGACTGGAGTACAAATGCTCGTGTTCATCACACAAACATCTGCCCCCACCGGGATCCGAACCCGGGACCTCTCGAGTCGGCGACACCATGAAACCCGGCGGCGTACAAACCACTCGACCACGGAGGTCTTCGATAATATATATGTCGTCGATATGTATAGTTAGAATATAATTTAAAAGTTTTGCTTCATAGATATTCTGCATTTTAGACATTTATTTTAAGCTATTTCCTTCATAGTTGTTCTACAATTTTAGGTTTTCTGCTTTCTAGATGATATTAATGTTTAGATGTTTTGATCATAATAGTTTTGCATTGGTCTTTTCAATTGTGCAGTGTTCAGAGCTGGCGCGATCTGTAACTGGCCATAAAAAAAATACAAAGTATAAACATATTATACGAAATACTCCATAACTAGGCCAAGTTCATACTTTTTCTACTGCCAAGGGGAAATATTGGTTTCTCCCTTGAGAGACTCCAGCATTTGCAACGTGTGAATTAGATTCAGCATTCCCAAATACGACCAATAGATACAGACGGAAGTTGAGCGTGAAATTAATATTGAGCTCAGTACCTAACGATATTATCTGGACCAAATCTGTTCAGTAATCCGATTGAATCGATCATTACTACTTAATGGAAGCAAAATTATTTGTTTTCATAACTGCCACAGTAACAAACGTTATGTGTTATTTCAAGTATGTATGTACTATAAACAAAAGTATTCATCGTACAAATATATTTCTAGATAAACATACTTATATATTCGTATGTATCAGTATACAGGGCGTCCCACGGCTACCTCACACGGAGGGAAAGTATATTAAATATTGAAGATAGGATATTTTACTGAAAGAAGACATCACTTTATTTTTAATGATAACTAGAACTACATTCACAGTTTTTTTTAAAATCGCTTGCTACAACTGGGAATCAAACTCGTGAAATTTCGAAAAAAATAACTCGGCATATTTTATGATAACCATCGAAAGGGTTAATCATAAGGATTATGTTTTTGCATAATAACATAGCATTTTAAATGAAAGGAATGTGAATTACGTGATAAAAATAATAAAGTGTTATACAAACTGTAGTACGTATGCATTTCTTTTTGAACTCACAGTTACAATGCGACTGGCAGAAATTTGTAATAATAATAATTCCAAAATGGAACACATAAATTATCAAGTGTCTGTTCTTTTGTTCTTTGTGAGTTTCATTTTCATTTATTTGCAATTTTTTGTTAATTTACTTCCCATGGCTTATCAAAAATCTTTCTCTACCTCTATCATTTTTTCATTATTTAAACACATATCGAGAAGATTTGTCTCTATCAGGATATCTTTTGTGGTACCACCGCTAAGCTAATGATATGTCTTTGTGGCTCATAAAGTATGCTTACATTAAATCTATTTAATTTTGATGCGCCATGGTAAGTAAATTTACAAAAAAAATGCAAATAAACGAAAATGAAACTCACGAAAAACAAAAGAACACAGGCTTGAAAATTCATGTGTTCCATTTTCGAATTATTATTACAAATCTCGGCCAATCGCATTGGAACTGAATTCAAAAGTAATGCATACGTACTACAATTTGTATATCACTTTATTATTTTTATCACGTAATAAGTCATTCCTTTCATTTAAAATGCTATGTTATTTAGCAAAACATAATCCTTTTCATTAACCCTTTCGATGGTTACCATAAAATATGCCGTGTTTTTTTTTCGAAATTTCATGGGTTTGATTCCCAGTTGTAACAGGCGATTTTAAAAAAAACCTGTGAATGCAGTTCTAGTTATTATTAAAAATAAAATGATGTCTTCTTTCAGTAAAAAATCCTATCTTCAATATTTAATATACTTTCCCTCCGTGTGAGGTAGCCCTGGGACGCCCTGTATATGTATTCTAACTGTTGTCCTGGTATCCCATAACACAAGCCTTACAGTGCTTACCAAAGTAAGCCCCAAAGGGCTAGGCTGATTGGTGTGAGTGTGAGAAATATTTATTTATTTCAAGTGAAACTTTTTTTACATCATCATCATTACATTTTATTTTTTTATTTAAAAAATCAGATAGCGGTCCGGGTTCGATTCTTAGCCAATTAAAGATTATTTTTAATTACTGACTTTAAAAGTTTAACTTGCACCATAGTTTCATAAAACCACAGCAATTTTTATAATTCCATTTGTAACCCTTTGAGCGCGGTACCCTAAAAACAATCGAAACACTCTAGTACTAAAGATATGATCTTTGCGTCATACTTACTTTGCATACATACTGCGATCATGTATTACATTAACTATGGGAATAAAATATTTATTTTATGCGTGGTGGGGTGCATACGTGTTAGAAATATCAAGAACCTGGTACGTTTTCGGTAGATTCACTTTAATTTAATAAAACGCAAATACTTTTGCAACTGCTGGGAGCTTAGCGCTAAAAATAATAAAAAAAAAAACAAATTTATAAAGTCTAATGACATCTATGACGGGAATTTAATGGCATGATTCAAGACATTTACATAGTTTTTTTTTCAATTATAGTATATCATATCTCAATAGAGAATCCTTTGATAAAGCGTAGGAAATGCCACAAATGAAAAAACTCGAACTACAGTTCGAGTTCATCATTCTAGGTCACAAAAAAATATAATTTTCTTTTTACTGTGATTCGATTTCGAAAATTTCCTCCTCCTAATAAGTACCTTAATTATCAACGTTGTTTTTCTTCTTTCGTCCTATAATTATAAACATATTTTACTGACTACAAAGATGAGGTTCTCAATTCAGCAGGTATATTTTTTCCTCTTATTTGAATGATTACGCTCCCGAGTTGTGAACAGCAACTCAGAACTATTAATGGCATTTGGCAGTCTAACTCCAAATTAAAGGTTAACAACATTTAATTTTACTTTACGTGTTCTTTGTATTGAAGTTAAGGATAAGAATTTATTTTTTGTGGTTTCGTTTTAATGAATCATGGAACCTTTCGAGATTACCGATCATATAATGGGATATGTGGCGAAAAACTTATTATAGCGAGCTTTTCTGTTCAGGAGGAATGATGATCCGTGATTTGCATCTGCTATCGTTAGAACCCACTAACAGTGGTGGGTCATGGCCCATGCTCCTTATGCCATTCTTAGGAAACACCCATACCCTAGCAGTGGGAATATTATCAAGCTAATGATGATGATGTTTAAAATGAAGTCTGTTTTTATTTTTGATCTAAAAGATTTCTTTACGTTAAAAAAATCTTACCAATAGGGATGATGACTATTTTATTTTCTTCGTTTATCAGGTAGATTATCAAAAAGTGTTGGACACGTATTTTTTCTTTTTTCACATAATATAAACATTGCAGAGATATATATTCATTTGAAAAGTCGCATGACGTCACGTTTGAGTACACTTTTAAGTGAAAATTCACTAAAAAGTGACGTCACGAGCCCCTACTCCCAAACTTTGACGCGCTATAACTATGTCATTTTTGGTTGATTGCCCAAAGAAAAAATACATGTCCATTATTTTTTGATCATCTAACTGACGGACTAAATAGAATTTCGTTTACTGTACTCCATCATCACCTCTATTGTTCGTGTGCAGATACAGATCAGAACCCGTTGTTTGTGCTGTACTCTGACGCTGGAGACGAGCAGCTCCAGGTGGTGGTGGGACCGATGATCGAACTGTACTACGAGGACACGCGGGGAGATCCGCAGGACAACGAGCTGCTTACATTCAGACACAGCGTCGCTGATGGAAGGTAATCGTACTAACTCCCCATCCTACAGATACAGACCAAAACCCGTCGTTTGTGTTGCACTCTGATTCTGGAGATGAGCAGCTCCAGTTGGTACTAGGGTCAATGATCTAGTTGTACTACAAACACACGCGGGGAGACCGACAGCAAAAGAAGCTGCTTACATTCAGACATAATGTCGCAGTTTATATACTAACAATTTTAACACTGACAGATTCGACAGACATTATCTTGCCCGATAAAAAATACGACTTTCGCGCCACCTTTCTGCTAAGAGTTGTAGTTGTAAGTGAACAATATAGAAACCGCACCGTTATTTGTTGGAAGTTAGTTAATAAAACTATAGAATCTATAAATTTTCGTGAACACACCAAATTGTTTATCATAGCAATGGCAGTAGAATACTGTAGTAAATCAAAAGATAACCGCGACCGCTCTAAGCTTACTTAACTATACCTAAAACTTTTGCAAGTCTTAAAGATGATGGGTGACTAAAATTTTCCTCAGTGCTTCAGTAAGCACAAAAAGCTATTTGTCTCGGGTGTACAGACAGTAGAAGACTAATGATTATTGTAAAACTTAGAAACCCTTTATAGAACCAGTATTAATGTTTCTACGTATTTATATTAATAAATGTTTATAGGTATTATTTACAGAATACTGTATTCAAATTTTTTGATTTTCATTTTTATAAAAACACTAGCTGACGAACTTCGTACCGACATAACAATAAGGTTTGGTGATAGAAGGGTAAACATATAGGGTTGCATATTTTTTTAATGCCACATTACAAAAAAAAAAAAATTAAAATGTTAGGGTTGGACAACCCTTATCACTTAGGGGTAGAAAAATAAATAGTAGCCGATTCTCAGACCTACTGAATATGCATATAAAATTTCATAAAAATCGATCAAGCCGTTTCGGAAGAGTATGGTAACTAACATTGTGACAGAATTATATATATTAGATACTCCTAAACATAACGAGCATTCGTCACCTTGTTATTTGTATCTAAAATGCATTTAAAAGAGTGGGAAACAATTATTGAAATTCTGATAGCTTGCTACTGTTTCACTGTAGTAAACAATAAAATTCTATGTGTAACGGGTGTTACAATACTATTATACAATGTTGACAAACTTTTTTTTATTTTTCACATAATCAAGACATTAGAGAGATATTTATATTCATTCAAATTGTCGCATACAAATTTTACTTACACGTGACGGCACGAGCTTCACCCCCAAACTTTGACGGGTTTTATTTTTGTCATCTTTTGCTTCATTGGCAAAAGAAAAAATAAGTGACGATTATTTTTTGATAATAACGCAATGACAGACTCAATTGACTTTCGTTAACTTTTCCCCGTTATCATCCCTATTCGAACAGGAAATCCGCTTTGTCCTATCTCTCATGTCCTATCTCTCATGCCCTTTCTCTATTTTCACAACACACAACACAATGCACTCAAATCATCAGATTGAAAAACATCAAAAGCGGACGAAAATTACGTGAAAAAATCACAGTCCGAAATTGGGATTTCGTTTTGCGTTCTTTTCCCCCTGGTATCGACAGTATCTACAACGCAGCGGTAATCGAAAAAGGTCGGATTCGGAACGAATTGATCTAGTGCCATGATAACCTCTGAAGCTACCTCTGAACCGATTAATTGAGGTATTGGTTTAGATAGAGTACAGCCAGATGCTTTAATTTGGATTTGTTTCATTGCAATGTGGCTTGAACATTCGCATTGCAATAGGGTCGAAATCTCTAGACAAAAATAGCGTTGAAACGTAAAGTTAAATGTTTTTGAATTTTGTTGACATTTCTGAATATTAACCGCCTTTCTAAGAGTAGGTATCATTTCGTTTTTAATTTTTCCATTATGATCATTATGTCAGTGTCGAACAAGGAAAGCATATTAACAATCTAAGAAAATGTAATCAAATCGAATTTTATGATTTCCTTATCAATATTTTCACAAATTAATTTTTAATTTATTCTTTATATTATATTACATTTTAGTTTTTTATAAAATGATACCAATTAACATTATTAGAAAAAACACTGGCCACGTTAAATAGTAAGTTGATGGTTTAGAAATTTCCTTACGTTTCTCGGGTCCGTAAAGTTTGCGCGTAAACTGAACAGTTGTTTCTATTGACACAATGCTTAATACGTTGTTAAAGCAACGTATTTGGTCAAAAAATCTGCTTCTATTATGTTTGTTTGCTATCCGATATTCAAACTTAGGTGGATTCCAAATTAAATAACGTGACTGTACCTACCTATTATAATAAAGAGCACGCAAAAGCATATTATACCCAAATAAGACATTATTAAAAAAAATCTTTAAGGGAAGGTGTATAATTCATCAATTAATAAACATCAGTAGCTTAACGAGTTAAACTTATTTGTATATATGAAGATGTCTTGTGACATGCCTATTTGAAAATAATTAGACATGACATACGGTTTTGCATAGACAAACAAATGATAAATTGACGAACTCCGTGGTCGAGAGCTATGTACGTCGGGTTTCAAAGTGTCGCCTACTCAGTGGGTTTGATACAAACATTTTTGCTCTAAGTCATGTCTCTCTCCATCTTCTCTTCTCGTCATCTTACTTTGAGGCTAGGCTAATTGGCGTTAGTGTTGAAAATGTTTATTTAATTATGCGTAAATTAAATAAATTAAACTTTTAATTAAGAGCCCTTTGAGTACGAAACCCTAACAAGATAGAAACTACAATAATGACTGAACGACAAAAAATATCTTTGTTATTATTGTGGTTTCTATCTTGTTCTTTATTTAACTTACGAGTTTTGAACGCTAACCTACATGCTAAAAATCTATGCCCGATGCGACGAAAAACGATCATTTCTATTAATTTATTATGACACTTTAGGTACTCAGAGAAGTTGTGGAATATCTGCTAATACCTCTATACTACTACTTGTGTTAAGCCTTAATTTGGATCCTTTCGGTCCATTTAACAGAATTTCGTACTACCATCACAAACACAAAGCGATAGGAGAACAACACGTTGAAATTGTTCTTTGATTATTTATTGGCTGACCTGAACTCTCAAAGCTTTGTTCACGTAACAATTTGGTCATGGTTTAGGTAAAGTGTATGCAGCTCGAGAATTTGAATGTTTCAAAATGGTTTCCTTGCGAAAAGACAAATTATAGTCATTACTCTCCAAACTGTTACTCCGTTGTACAGCCTACGGGTTATAAATTAGCAAAGGTTTTCCAGGATAAATACCTTTATAATGCATGGATTACGAACTGCGTAACTTAGCGGCCGATACACTGAGTGTCTTTAACCTAAGTTTAGCTGTTATGCTTACTTATGTTCATATTACTTATGTTGCGTATTATGACAATCACTTATTGCTTAAAAGTGCGAGAAGTAGATAAAATTAAACCACTTTTAAAAAATCTATTAAGATAGAATTTTCTAAGTAAATTTCATTTAACGCTTCATAAATTAGCATTAACTTTGATAAAACTTTAAAGAAAGTTGCTTTTTAACCGACGAAAAAAATGGAGGAGGTTATCAATTCGACGCGTAATCACGCATAACTTTTTACAGAGTAGCCCGAATTCGATGATTCTTTTTTATTGGATATACCTCGAAGTTGGCCCTAGATAAATTAAGAAACAAAAATCCTACCCTAGGGGTGGGAAAATATAATACTGATTGTTCACTCAAAAAAATTTGATGCCGAGTTGAATATTACAAAAATGGTAACCACAAAAAAATATAAACTTTTAAACAAAAAAATTAAGACGTCGAAAAGCAAATAATAATAAGGCTTTTTTTTATCTTTATTCAAATGAATAGTTGGAGACAGTGCCATGCCAACCCAAGTAGTAATTGGGAACTCAGATCTATCAGACATACATGGCGCAGACTCCAAATATTAATTTGACTAAAGATAAAATAGGGTATTTAATTTAATAGGGGTGTAAGGGGTTCTAAATACACCTGCAAGAACCCAAGCCAACCTCACCTTCACGTGGTGCACCCTGTTAACCAACAGACGAGGTTCTGGCAAACCGACCGATGGCGGTATAACCATCCAATGACGTAGGGGAGGAAAATGTCACTGGTGACGGGCAGCAGCGTCATCAGTAAATAAACCTACGCTCTGCGATCGCCAACCCGCCTGCCCAGCGTGGCGATTATGGGCAGAACCTTCATGCACAAGAAACTCAAGCCACGGCCCCCAGTTCCCGGCAGCCCCGCTATTCCTGGTCACGGTGGCGACCACGGTAACGGTGGGGCGGGGGGTGCCAAGAATCTCCGGGCTACGGGAGGCCACCACAAAAGACTGACCTTGGCGACGTACAACGGACGCGGACGCACGCTACGGCTTGACTCGCATCTGGCGCAACTCGAGGTGGAACTTGGAAAGATTAGGTGGCACATTTTAGGGTTAAGTGAAGTCCGAAGAGAGGGGGAGGACACCATAACCCTCGAATCGGGCCACCTAATGTACTTCCGCGGGGGAGACCAACAGTCCCAAGGTGGCGTTGGGTTTTTGGTAAATAAGTCCCTTGCCGATAACGTTGTGGAAATGTCCAGCGTGTCGAACAGGGTAGTGTACCTTATTATAAAGCTCACCGAAAGGTATAGCCTCAAGGTGGTGCAAGTGTACGCACCGACCTCGACACACTCGGACGACGAAATGGAGGATATGTTCGATGATATATCGAGGGCCCTCCACTCCACTACTAAGACCCACTACAACGTTGTTATGGGGGACTTCAACGCTAAAGTGGGAGTACAGAATTGCAGCGAATCGGTAGTAGGATCCCATGGATTTGGAAGCAGAAATCATAGGGGGCAAATGCTCGTCAACTTCCTCGAACAGCAGGGGCTCTTCTTGATGAACTCTTTTTTCAAGAAACAGCCCCAAAGAAAGTGGACATGGCAGAGCCCCGACACTATGACTAAAAATGAGATCGATTTCATCATGACGGATAAGAGGTACATATTCAGAGACGTCTCCGTGATCAACAGGTTCAATACCGGTAGTGATCACCGACTCGTCCGGGGCTCTCTGAATATCAACTTTAAGGCCGAGCGCGTCCGTTTAATGAAATCCAGGCTCCAACCTACTTTGCTCCAATCTATAACAGGATCTGAAACGTTCCAGTCAAATCTGGAGAACCGATTTGCTGCCGTGGAAACCACATCAGACGTAAACCAAAACCTCGAAAATGTGGTTCGAATTCTCAGGGAAGAGGGTACGAAACTATGTGCAAGGCAGCGTAAGGGCAGGAAGTCAAAGCTTTCGGAAGAGACTTTAGGGCTAATGAAGGAACGACGTGAAATCCCACCCGTTACTTCGTCGGCAAAGCGGACTCTAAACCAAGAGATCAGTAACCTCCGATGCTCCAATACTCTCTCGATCGAGAGAGCGATCGAGCAGAATCGGTCCAAAGTGTTCGTACAATCTCTTGGAAGAAGCCATCTGACGAAGTTGACCACAGCAAGTGGGGAAGTTGTTGCTTCAAAGCCGGCAGTCCTTTCGGAAGTGGAAGACTTCTACAGCCAGTTATACGCATCACATGCATCTCGACCTGATCCCGGAAATGAGGATTCTAGAGCCACATTAACACGCCACTTCACCGAAAACCTGCCAGAAGTCAGTATTGGCGAAATCGAGATTGCTCTTGGACAGCTTAAAAATGGAAAAGCCCCTGGAGAGGATGGTGTTACAACAGAACTCTTGAAGGCTGGAGGTAAACCCGTACTGAGGGAGCTCCAAAAGCTTTTTAACACTGTCCTGTTCGAAGGGAGAACTCCTGAGGCGTGGAGTAGGAGTGTGGTCGTCTTGTTCTTTAAAAACGGGGACAAGACCCTACTTAAGAACTATCGACAGAGGCGGCCTTACCGATTGCGAGGCTCCGGGCGGCAGGTCTTTGCGAGGCCCTTTGTCCTTCGTGAAAAGTATGTGATGCGAAAGTAGGTCTGGTTGTTTGGTTTAGGTATTTGTCATGTTTAAGGAAAAATGCTTAAATTATACAAATAAATCAAATTTGAATTTTAAAATATTTTACATTGAAAGATTCACAAAATTAACAAATACAGAGATGATAAATTTTAAAATTGATGTTTGCGGCTTTTCCTAAGACTAAAATCTTTAATTAAAGCACAATAATCTAACGAATAAACTACGTCATTTTCGATTGAAAGAATAGCGAGGGCTGAAAGCCGATCTTGTGTCATTGAAAAAATAGTATTTTTTTTTATATTTTTAAAATTTGCTTGGGTTGTTGCGCGAGGCCCCTGTAGGAGCTAGGCCCCGGGCGATTGCCCTGTTCGCCACCCACTAAGACCGCCACTGACTATCGACCCATATCCCTTCTAAGCCACGTCTATAAGCTGTTCTCAAGAGTGATCGCGAACCGTCTTGCGCGAAGATTTGATGACTTCCAACCACCGGAACAGGCTGGGTTTCGGAGCGGATACGGCACCATAGACCACATCCACACAGTGCGGCAGATTATACAGAAGACTGAGGAGTACAATCAGCCCCTGTGCCTAGCATTTGTGGACTATGAGAAGGCCTTTGACTCGATTGAAATCTGGTCTGTCCTGGAATCCCTGCAGCGTTGCCAAGTCGACTGGCGATACATCCAAGTGATAAGATGTCTCTACGAAGCCGCCACCATGTCTGCCCAAGTACAGAATCAGCAAACAAGTCCCATACCGTTGCATCGTGGAGTGAGACAAGGGGACGTTATTTCCCCGAAATTGTTCACTAATGCAATGGAGGATATGTTCAAGACGCTGAACTGGAAACGACATGGCATCAACATAAATGGCGAACGCATCTCTCACTTGCGATTTGCAGACGACATCGTCATCATGGCAGAAACCCTGCAGGACCTACAACAGATGCTGAATGACCTGGCTGACTCTTCTATACGCATCGGCCTACGGATGAACTTGGATAAAACCAAGGTCATGTTCAATGAACATGTTCTACCGGAACCGATTGCAATACACGGTGCCGTTCTCGAAGTTGTTCAAAAATATGTATACCTCGGGCAGACATTGCAGTTAGATAGAAACAACTTTGAGGACGAGGTGAAGGGAAAAGTTCAGCTAGGTTGGGCAGCGTTTGGGAAGCTACGTCAAGTCCTGACATCGTCGATCCCACAGTGCCTAAAGACGAAAGTCTTCAATCAGTGCGTCCTACCTGTGATGACATACGGAGCCGAGACGTGGACACTGACGGCACGGCTGATCCACAGGTTCAAAGTCGCTCAACGCGCTATGGAAAGGGCTATGCTCGGCGTTTCTCTGAAAGATCGCATCAGAAATGAGGTAATCCGACAGAGAACCAGAGTTATCGACATAGCCCACCGGATTAGCAAGTTGAAGTGGCAGTGGGCTGACCATATTTGCCGAAGAACCGATAACCGTTGGGGTAGAAGAGTTCTGGAGTGGAGACCGCGTCTAGGCAAACGTAGTGTAGGACGTCCTCAGGCACGATGGAGTGACGATTTGCGCAAGGTGGCTGGCAGGAGCTAGATGCGAGTAGCCCAAGATCGATCTGAGTGGCGTGCATTTGGAGAGGCCTATGTCCAGCAGTGGACTATGATAGGCTGTTGATGATGATGATGATGAAAAAAGGGTATTTAATTTTTTGCTTTTCGATGTTTTTTTTTTGTATTTTTTTTTCACAATAGGGATTAACAATATCTAACAAATTTTGTCAATATAAGGTGGCACCGATTAGCGCTCAGTATCAAAGGGGACTCTGTGACATTAATGCTGGACTGTGAAGTGCAGGAGACTCTCCGCTTGGACCGTAAACCGGGAAGCACCTTCAATTTGGCTGGCGCACTGGTAGTGGGCCTGCAAGTCACACCTGATCAGTACTATGAAGTGAGTTTCCTATGCATATTATTAAACTTGATAGAAGTTCTAAGCTTCAGATCAAATTTTGTAAAAGTAAAAAATAAACAACCCAAAACTGTATGAAGAAAAAAATTTTATTAGTAAGGATAACCGTGGTTACAGAAAAGACCCTAAAAACAATCCGATAATTATAAAATTGTACCTATACTTATGAAAACGCTTAATAATATCTGAATATTGTGTAATTTATTGAAGCTAATTTTGACTCTGCCGTTCATGTAAAGTTTTATTTTCATTTTATATAGTTACAATATTGGGTTCATAATTTCAGACTTCTTAAATTATTAAGGTTACATTCATTGTGATGTTTCTTTATTACTCATGTGTTTATTCAACACAATTAATTATGTATAATGTCTTACTGGTTATATTAAAACAAGTTGTACATTTTCAGGGTGACCTTGAATTATTGCAATTTTCAAACAGACCAGACACAGCGTTCGATATGTGCGTCGAGATAGCGCCAGATTGCAATGGCTTTGGTAACACTCAAAGCTATTATGGATCTGAAGGAGATTTGAGAAAAGAAAATGCTTACTCAGTGGTCGAAAGAGATCGTCAAACCGAATTGCACTTTAAAGTCTCAACTGAGAGTCCAAATATCGACGACACACTGACGTCTGATGGTGACGACCGGAGAAATGACGTAGTAGGTAGAAGGAGATTTTTTCATGAAAGGAATCATTCGCACAATACTTGGGACTTTGCTGGAGGTGAACTAACTACACAAGCGCCGGTGTGGTCGCTGCCTAACTTCGTAGCAGTTACTGCTCAATATCCTGCTCTGACCGATTCTGGTAAGCAAGATTCGTTACAATACTAACCAACGGTAGTACTCAGACACGTCAATAAAATTTAATTCTTATCAAACCGACGTGTTTTTCTTATAATATCGCTAACGCAAAATAGTGACAGCGTTAACTATGGGGTAACCCTAAAAAATAATAACCATAAGAGCCTGCACTGCGTTAATCGGGTGTAAGGAGCGGACATCCACTCCGTGTGTTTGTTTCGTGATATTTCATAGAGCTACGCTGTGTGAGGCGGGTCTCCCGTCGCAGCTCCTGCTCCCGCTTAACGCAACGTAGGCCGTTAAATGTGGGGTGCGTAAACTAAAATGAAACTTCAAAATTTAATGCCTTACCTTGTCACATAATATAATTTGGGTAATATTGAATTAGGCTAGTATGTATTAATAACTTTTCATGTGAATTCGCAGATGAAAACAGTATATTTGGAAGTTTCACCGCTGAAAACGAAGTTTATCCCATTGAAGCAAACTACGTTTATAACTCACCGGAACCACAAGAAAATACTACACCCAGAGTAAGTTTAAAAAGATAGTAATGTAAAATGTTTTCAATTCCCTTATGATATGTAAGCTGTGTTTGTTTCACTTTAATACAAGTTATAAGCACAAATAAGGAATCATATAAATTATAAACTACAAGTGGAACTTTCAGGATGTATAGATTTTTTTTATGTCAATATAGTAACTATACGTATACCTATATGTATGTACGTGGAAAGGCCCAGCGCATTTTTAAGTACTACGTTCAATTAAAATGATTTAGTTTCATTTTAATAAGAAAATCTGCCCTGAAATAATCTAAATCAATCGTTAGTTGAGTAACAACTTATTTTTTTTAGCGGACAGAGCTATGTAGTAACGTATAGTCACAGAAAAATCATGCAATAATAGCAAGGCAATCTAAATCAAGATAAACTCAATAAAATTAAAATAGACACATTCATCATAGTATCTACATTATTTCCTCTTGTTCTTCTGAAAGAAATTAAAAGCGGTCAAGTGCGAGTCGAACAAGGGTTCCGTAGCAGCAAGTAACATAATATAATAGTTCTTGTATAATGCGATTCAACTAAGAACAGGATCGACTGGGCGCCATATTTTGACGTCATAGCTGTCAATTCAAACCAAATAGGTAGAGTGAGCAAAAAAATGTTGCTATTTAATGAAACTTATTTACTAAGATTAAGTGAGACAAAACATCAGATTTTTTAACAAAATTAATTTACTAAGGTTGAGAACAAAATCATTGTTAATAGTATTTCTTTATTAAGACTGTGAAAAAAAAACATTAATAAGAATCTAGCTCTTCAACTCCTGCATGCATCCTATATGTAAACGAAAGTTTTAAATCGAGTTTTGAACGCAACATAAATTGACATTTGGTTGACGATTTAGGTTATCAACCATTCATAGCCAAAGCTAAATAAATGAAAAAAAGCAACTAATATTAATTATCAACATTTGTTATTGTTTGTTTAACTAAGTTTGGTTTTTATTCTAGAATCAGCTGAGTGCTAAAAAAGTGTTCCGAGATTTATTTGCAAACCGTACTTTTCAGGCGACATTTGACAGATGGAGGTCATTATCTTTCCAATTCTTATTTGAATCGCATTATAGTTCGTTGTAACTTTGATCGATGTTTTAATAACTCGGGTACGCGCAGTCTGGAACATGCCCCTGCGCGCTCCGTACCCGCTACCGATTAAGCCACGCCCTGCGCGAATTTTAATAATTATTTACTTAGGCACCTATTACAGATTTATTATTAGAAAATAATGGTACACGATATACACATAAGGTTTATGTTTATGAAATTAAATGTTTTTTTTTATAACTTAAATGAAAGGTAAATGGCGGTTTACGATTTATGACGTATTGAAATAAAAGAACAATTAGATGTCGTTCAAACCAATTTTGGTGGAAGTGTGCATGGTAATGTTACCTACATCACGTATATTTTTTTTGTTTTATTATTCTCTTATTTTTTAAGAGACAGGGGGGGGGGGACATTTTACCACTTTGGAAGTGTCTCTCGCGCAAACTATTCAGTTTGTTGAACCCCCAAAAATGATTGTTTTTTTTTTCTATTTTTGTGTGAAAATCTTAATGCGGTTCACAGAATACATCTACTTACCAAGTTTTAACGGTATAGTTCTTATAGTTCCGGAACAAAGTGGCTGTGACATACGGACGGACGGACATGACGAATCCATAAGGGTTCCGTTTTTTGCCGTTTTGCTACGAAACCCTAAAAAGTTCTTCCTCAGCAATGCTGCATAACCTCTATAAGAACTTGATAACCTGGAAATAGTAAAAAGAAAGTAATTAGGTTCACGCAGTTAACTGAACCGTAGTCCATCAAGGAAAACATTTAAGAGGAATCTTTAACGTTTAAGACACCTTCATTTGAACTGGCTATATCGTTAGGAAGGTGTATTTATACCGGAGGTTTACTGCATATTTACTCAGTCGGCATCGTATTTGATTTCCATCGAGGAACGACGAAGATCAAAAAGAAAGTGATGACATTTTATTTAAAGCTTTTAATCGATTTGGATATTTGCAAGCATCCTACTTAGGTACGTGTTCTCGTATTACATTGATCAAAAAAGTTTGCAATCAATTGGGAACAAATAATGAATGAAGAGCTACATATATATTATTAATAGCGGCCGCCCGCGACTTCGTACGCGTTGAGTTAATTATTTGCACATACTTTTTGACCCCAAAAGGAGGTTTATTTCTAAAGATACTTTATTAGTACATCTCTACACCATCTACAGAGCATACATGTTAAATTTTAAGTCTCTTACTTCAAAAACATAGGACTTCCATACAAACTTTTGAAGAAATAAAGGTTCCCCGTAGGTGACAGCGTGATAATATGTATGTCTATATGTTGACCCGACTTACGTGCCAAATTTGAAGTAAATCAATGCAGTACTTTTTGAGTTTATCCCGGACATACATACAAACAGACAAAAATTCTAAAAACTATATTTTTGGCTCCGGTATCGACACCCCAAGAATTTTTTAAAAAAAATATTCATTGTACAGTTTTGACTTTCCTACCATTTTATTATATGTATAGATTTATTCATGTAATATCAAGTCTTTGCTCATACAGAACAGCATGTATTTAAGTGATCGTCTTATTTTGCAAAAAAGCATATTTTTAATGTTCGTCTTTATTAATGATTGATCCTCTTTTCCGGAGACATAATTCAAATCGCTCGATACCTTATGGTGTGCCGAGTGCCTACCGCTATTACGGTCGGGAAATATTTGCTTAATTTTTCAATACATAAAAGCTAAGGTAATGGTCTACACTATGTCGCACGAAATCGTAAGAGATACTTTTTTTTAAATAAAATATAGTAATAAACCTGAAGGGTGGTAGTACAATGTAAACTCAAACTCATTTATTCAGTCTAGGCTGTTACAAGCTCTTATGAAAGTCAAACGCTACGCCATCGATTCGTAAATCTACGGCGGGAGACCTTGTACTGAAAAGAACCGGCAAGAAACTCAACAAGGGCTATTTTTTTTCTCCCTGTTTTGTTTCAAACAGTGTCGTCAATTGAAAGATGTCATCAAAAACTGAAATCATCACATTATTATTTTTAATTAACAATAACTTAAGTATAGCTGTGTATTATTTTGTAATTTAGAAGTGGCGATTAAACAATATTCAATAAAATTAGCGATGTAGACCTTGATAGTACTGAACTTTATGGAAAATCAAAACTTATATTATTTTTAAAGTTGAAACGTGGTGATGACGAAAACGAAGAACCGGATTTTACTACAGTCATCACCACTGAGTCGTACCTGCCTATGACGACCACAGAGGATGACGATTGGCTCACTCACCCTCCAGACACGGTAAAAATGTAGTTTTGTGTTTATGTAGATAGAGTGGCAAACTAGAATATGGCCCGCCATTCATCATCATCAGCCTATGACTGTTGACAAAGCTGGAACGCAGGCCTTCTCTATGGGTGGAATAGTAAAATTGGGCCAGGACCCACCACGGGGGCCCAGCGTGGATTGATGGGGTGCTAACACAGCAGATATAGCCAGGACCAGTGGCTCAACGTGCCTTCCGAAGCACGGAAGAGCTCGAGATAGTAAATTTTTGATCACCCATCCAATGACCGACCACTGCGAATGTTGCTTAACTTCATCGATCGCTAACCAGTTGCGCGATCGAGCTCCACCCGTTATTATTAATACTCTACAGGGTGAAAAAAAACCTTTAACGAAGTCGAAGGCCACGTATTATTCACATCATGATTTTCTTCTGGACCATACTTGGGAAATTTATGGTTATAGAGATATTGAAGGTCAAAGTCACGATTTTTTTTCAAGATTTACACATAAATATTTTCAAAACGTTATTTAGAACACACATACACACAGGCACATTCTTTTCGTAGCGGCACAGTAGCACGCTGCGCTATACATTGCGTACTGGATAAAAAAAAACTTAAAAATACAAATATTTCCCACGCATAATATTTTGTAATATTACTTGTTTGGGTGTACAGAATGCGTAGTTTTAGTCTTTGTCATCGGTTTTTTTACTCCCTGTATATACAAGCGATACCAGAATATCCCTTGCGCGTTACTGACTGACCAACTGAGCCTTGGAATCTTACTCACTGACAGAAATTATAAGATAATCGTAAGTAAAAATACACTGTGCTGTTTTTCTAAATGACCGGTTGCTTAGCATTCTTTACTTTTTTTTATTTTATTTTAAGTTAAATGTTTGCAGCAACTCAACAAAAAAGTGTTAATAAAACCAGATGGCAGTGGATATTAATATCGCAATCAATTTCCACAGGGAAACGGCTCAATAGAATACGAAACCTATTACGACTACGGCGGTGCGGGCAGGTACCTGGGCCCGCGCGGATACCCGGGTCCTCCCGGAGCGCAGGGCCCACGCGGTCCCAAGGGAGAGCCTGGCAAGCCAGGCGCGGAAGGCCAGCAGGGCTTCCCGGGCGCGCCGGGGAACGTGTTTGTCGTTCCCGTAAGTATAACTTTTCTATTAACTATGTTATCAATAAATTGAGATTATTTGAAGGGAGCGAGAGTATGTGATCGGCAGCAAAAGTTTCAGTCAATCATTAACTATTTGTACATACATTAGTAATACTATGTTTTATGGGTAACACGTTCTGTTATTATCCTAAATTAGACAGTTCAACTATGTCCAGCATAGAGCAACACGGCCAGTTGGGGAGTATAATAGGCATACAGAGTATATTAGGCTTGTAATACACAGCTTTTCTCCCTGTCGAGTTGGGCATACAAACGATACTACGTGCAGTGCAGGATTTGGCGATGTATTGTGTCATTGTTTTTGTGTAAGTGTAATACTTACAGTTTTGTTTTTGAAGCATGTACGTTAAAAGCATTGTGTACATATGCCCCCACACACACAGAATTATGTCGCTATGGCTACTCCCTTTCATGTTGATCTATGATGTCCAGCCATTAAGCATACGAATATAAAGTTCCTGGAGGCCATTCGCCTAACGGAAATGCTTTGGAAATTTTGATTTCGATTTTATTTTGTTATTTCTGACCGCCGAAGGTTTTCAAATACCTCACGCTCATTTTTTTTAATATTGTTATTACCAATGCAAAATAAAAAAAAAAGAGCGCGAGGCATTTGAAAACCTCAGGCGTAAATCGTAAGCGTTAGCGTTTTCCAAAGCATTTCCGTTAGGCGAATGGCCCCTGGTTTCAGAATCCGTTTGGAACCTGAAATAACTTCTTATTTATCTAAATAACAACGTGATAATGATAATGATAATTATAATAACACGTAAAATCTGCTTAGGATTCCGTATCTAAGTATTTAAGAAAATATTTAGTAATTTTGTTTGCGATTTCCCAAAACGATTCACTTTTAAGTAGGTATATTATATTTGACTAATCGAATCCTTTGATTGCAGTTACACCAGAATAGCAACGAGAAAGGACCGGACGCACAAGCTGAAGCGTTGCGCCAAATGTTCACACAGCACATGGTAAGAACATTGACAGATTAATAGTTAGTATCTTAACATTTTATTACGTAATTCGTTTGCATGAAATCCAGATTATCCATGAATTATATGAGTTGAAAGAGTACCTAATAATTTATTAAAATGGTTATTTGGTTGTCTCTAATAAAACAAATTGATTATTATTCGCAAAAGAATATGACTATTAAAAATAGTTATCTGCCTGTGCACCAGCTTCAACTATCTTCCAAATTTGTCTGTGTTTCTTTACTATCCATCAATTTATCTATTCAAGCTAATTCCGATTGTGAATTCATTTTTCTTCCACTAATTAAGTTACTTTTGGGTAAAGGACACAATATATACATATATATTGAGAGAGCACAACTTGCTACAGCATGTTAGTATTATATTAAAAAAAAGTGGTACAATTTTTAAATATAGATTTATTGTATTACCAATAAGGGAACGCCATATTCACAAGTATAAAATTATTTAATAGTACGTTGTACATAATGTCTAAAATCGTATTCCCAATGCTAAGAGAAATCAATGTGTCCTTTTTGCTCGAATAAACTTCCCTATTAAAACAACCCTGGTTTTAAGGATTTTCAAACGAATCTCGAAACTTGTTCATCTCTGTCGTTTTAAACGCCAACGCACCATAATTAAATATGTACGGTGTATGGATAACTGGAAAGTTTTGTTATGAATACAGCGAAATGAGGGAAGTTGGTTTTGGTCAATCCTAAAACTTATAAAATTACTCAATGTTATTAATACATATACCCTTTCTACTCCGGTAAAATCATCGAACCGACGCGACCGGTTACATTGGTAATTTCCCACATTTATTCATCAGCAGTATAAAACATTTAATACTCTGATTTTGATCTTGTTAATCATCATCGCCCCTATTATTGACATTCATCCGACTATCCCAATCGCACATTTCACCGTTTAATACGCCTAAATCGCCAACACGTACTACACATATTACCTCTTGCGGTGTTATAAAATTCAATGAGCATGTGAATAACGCACAAGAAAAGGCCCTAAGTGATAATGATCAAGAAGAAGATGAGTCAACTCCGATTTTGTCACACGCCCAGGCATTATCAGCAGTTAATGATTTAAAACACTATGTAACTTCTTTGAATCAAAGCGAAGTCACACTGCAAAAGTTAAGTAATGTTGAAAATCTTGTAATTGCTAATGCCTCAAAATCTTTTTAACAAACTAAAATAAGTGATTAATTTAAATAACGTGAAAATAAACAATAATACACTACATTTTTTGACATACATAATTCTTCAATATTGTACATTTTACCTCAATACCTTCGAAAAATAACATTCGAAATTTCCCTATCCCGCATAATACGCTTAGTTACCGCTTATGACGCGTTTTTGGTTGAGTCCCTGTGAAATCGTCTTAAACGGGTTTTACTGTATATGGATGTCATCAGGTGGATATAGAAGCCCTTCTCGGAGGTAAAAAATAACATATGCAAATAAATATTTCGAAAAGCTTTTCGTCAGATTTTTAGAGCTGGTTTTGACTATGTGTATATAGAAGAACTGGCTGAAATAAACATTGTTATTAACTTATACTAAAATTAAACTTTCTTTGATACACTTTAGGCTGCGATGCGAGGTGCTGATGGACCAATGGGCCTTACAGGACCAATAGGTCCAGAAGGGGAGATCGGACCTGAAGGAGCAAAGGGTGAGCAAGGGGAACAAGGAGAACCGGTAAATAAAAATGATTTTTTTGTTAAAAAAAGAACCCATTATTCATACAAACTAGAATGGCTCCATGCAATTTCTTCCATCTGTTCATGTTGGCAGAGACAATTATATCTTGACACAGATATACATACATACCCACATAAATAGGCTTGTTTGAGTTACGCTAGGTATACCAATAAAATGACCTCAAACATCAATAGTTTATTAGGTCGCTGACCGATGATATTAACTTTCAAGCACAGTTAAGACGTGTGATACTACCTAGCAATACCATTCATATAAAAAGAATATTAATTATAGAAAAATAAAATAAAGTAAAATTAAAAAATGTACATCAATAGTTTGATAGCTAATAACGATTTTATGGGTTCCTGCCAGGAAGCATACACCCCAGCAGGACCCATGCGAATTTAGTACTTTTTTTATTATAAATGATGTCAAAGAATGTATAAAATTTGTATGTCACGGTAATAACACTATTTTATTGCTTTTCATTAAGGGAATAATAATATGTTTCATTTAATTTTCATACTAAATGGTTACTGCGGAGTATGTTTCCTGGCAGGACCCCATAAAATCGTTAATAGCAATCAAACTATTAATGTACATTTTCTTTAAATTAACTTAAATTTTTGTATTTTTTTTTCTATTAGTCATATTCTTTGTATTTAAATGGATCTTGCCAGGGAGTACCACACGGTAACAGTATAGAAAACGATCTAAGCACAGCTAATCAAAGATAAGCGAATGTGGCTTAACTAAGTGAAGCTAAACAAATCTATAAAAGCTTAACGGGAAAGGAAAAGATGTATTACCTAAATTCATAAAGTAATTGAGTTTTGCTGTGCCTCGTTTGATGCATCCAGCCCAGCCTGTTCACAAGTCATAGAATACTTCTCTCACTACCCCTGTGAATTCAAGTACCAAACCCCTATACTGCACTGCGTTTATAAAAATATCAAATGATTTATATTAATTTACTCTGTAACTTATTTTCAACTAACTTATTTTTGGAACAGTCAACTGTAGATTGTAATTTTTACTTATCTCAATCTGTTCAGAGGTTTGAAGGTAAAGACGTAATTAACAAACAGACTTTTGTATTTATAATACCAGTACTAATGTATGAAAGAAAGATAAGTAAAATCACACACATGTAATTTTAAGGGTCCACCAGGCCCCAGGGGTTCACAAGGCCCCCTAGGTCGTCTAGGGCGCAGGGGCCACGCAGGAAGAGATGGGGAGCGCGGATCTCCCGGGCCACAAGGAGCCAAAGGGGAACCGGGTTACCCGGGCTTGCCTGGGATGCCTGGGGATAAAGGCGAAAGGGGCACACCTGGGCTGCAAGGGGAATCAGGCGCCCCGGGACAAGATGGCCCGCCCGGTGATGACGGACCCACTGGACCGCCGGGACTGATAGGAGAATTGGTGAGTTAATGATGGTTAATAAAGTAGTATAGTTTTGTTGACTAGTTATAACAAGAAAAGAAAATATAGTTGGCTTTGGCACACCTGGATTACAAGGAGAACCAGGCGCCTCGGGTCAAGATGGTCCACTCGGTGACGACGGACCTTCTGGACCGACAATTTATAAATTGATGATAGGGGAATAAAGTGGTATACATTTGTTACCTCGTAATTAAATTGCATGCTTTTATTACCAGATTAAGTGAAAATAGAGAAATTTTGTTTATGTTTTAAATGGATTTGTATGAAACAAAAAGTGACAAGCTTCCCTAGTGCATACTTAGAAATGAATTATTAAAAGTTTCATTTATTAGGTAGGTATTCACTTTTGGTTTAGGTATTGCCAAATGATTTGTGTTTTCTACCATTGCAATATCGCAACTTCAGAAATAACTGAGTATAAATACGTGATATACTTTTTTCAGGGACCAAGAGGTTTTATGGGACCGAGAGGTTTTCCAGGATTAATAGGTTATCCGGGCATCCCTGGGATCGAAGGACCACAGGGTTCAAAAGGGGCGTCAGGTCAACCGGGACCACCTGGACCTCAAGGTCCACCTGGACTTATGGGAACACCAGGCTCTCCAGGACCTCAGGGTTCTATAGGAGCTCCCGGAATACAGGTACAATAAGTAAAATTTTAGTTTGAAACATTCCTAGTTTTGACATAGTAAATAACAAATTCATTTTCCTTATAGGGTCCACAAGGTAAACCTGGTATTTCAGGTTTGCCTGGACCTGAGGGCATCCCGGGGAACCCTGGCAATCCAGGACAACAAGGATCACTCGGCGATATTGGACCACAAGGTCCCCAGGTACAAAACAACAGCAGATGGGTAGATAGATAAAATCTTAATTTTAAACATAATTGATATTGACACGTATCACTATTTTAAGGGAATGACTGGCTTTCCTGGTCCTAGAGGACTTAAAGGAGATGATGGCCCCCGAGGCGTACCAGGTGACAAAGGAGATAAGGGAGTCAGAGGTATGAACTTTTTAGAGTATAAATAAATCCTAACATCGAAGAATAGGCAGAAATAGTATTAAATATCGAAAACAAATCTTTCTATCCCAGGTATCGAAGGTGAAAAAGGTGAAATGGGTCCCAAAGGAGAACGCGGATTATCGGGAGAAACAGGTCCACCGGGAATAGAAGGACCTGAAGGTCAAAAAGTAAGTCAATCCGATAAAGTATTTATTTGTTGTTGGCATCGCACACTGATCACTCAACAAAACTTAGAAAGATATTTATATCTTCTAGTATTTATAGGCTGCAAGGCAGCGACATTTATTCACATTTAGATAAACCGCAATGTCAAATAAAACACTTTTACAAGTTTAGCTGACCCGGCGAATTTCGTATCGCATAACAGTAAATGAATGTGATTAATTTGAGGAAAAGTTAATACTGAGTCAAACTTCAAAGCTGAACATATGTTGTCGCATTTTTTTTTATATGTAGAACTTTTAAAGGGGAAATTTCTGTCATACATGATTTTTGTGTAACTTTATCCGTTTACGCAGCGCACTCCACGGAAGCTCACAAAAGGAATATTTTTTCCCGTTTTCGCAACATTTTTCATCGATGCTCTCGTCCTATTTCTCGTAGCGTGATGTTATATAGTCATCCTTCCTCGATAAATGCACTATCCAACACAAAAAATAAGTTTTCAAATTGAACAAATAGTTTCTGAGGTTAGCACGGTCAACCAAACAAACAAACTGTTCAGCTTCATACGAGTAATATAAGTATAGATTTGATAGAAGAAATAGCAGAATATAGAATAGATACTAATAGTGATACGATACCCATTTTGAATACAGGGTGTTGAAGGACCTAGAGGAGAAACTGGCCCGATAGGACCAACGGGTGAAAAGGGTGCTACAGGACCACAAGGGCTACAGGGGTACCCTGGCAGCCAAGGCGATAAAGGAGATAAAGGGGCCTCTGGAAGAAGGGGCAGAAGAGGTGCTAAAGGACTCATGGTAATGTATTATAAGTATTTTAGAAACAATAACCTGTGCAACAACCTCATTCATTCTGACTTCTTATTTTACAGGGCTTAGTTGGATCACCAGGTGATCGTGGTGAAACGGGACCTAGGGTAATTATACAAAATTAAATTAGTGTCGTTATTAGCAAAATATTTAGTTTGTTTCGAGTAAATGTTCTTGAGACTCATAAATCAAGTTAGTTGCTTGAATTAGAAATATATTAAACTATATATTGAATATTACAGTAGAAGTTTAACAGTTATTCTAATGCTTAAATATTTTAGATATCATTTACCTCTAAATTGGTTAGATATTGTTGATATGTTGTTTGTATGTGAGTTAAGAAATTTATGTAAGTGTTATATGTGGAAATTTATTATTAGCATGTGACTGATCATAGTTTCAATATACTTTGTTATTTGTCTGTAAATTTCCCAAATAAAATATTATTTTCTATAGGGATATAGAGGTCCTCATGGACGAAGGGGGTCTGATGGTCCACCAGGGCCCAAGGGAGACACTGGACAACCGGGCCCACCCGGGTCTGTGGGTGAACGTGGTCCTCAAGGCTTAGAAGGTCTTCGTGGATTCCCTGGGGCGATGGGTCCGCCCGGATCTGATGGGAAACCTGGCATGCCAGGTCCTCCCGGAGAACGTGGTCCAACGGTAATATATGCATTCAAATCTTGTTAATTACAATACCGCACATCCTAACAATTAGATATTTCTGCTTTTTGGGCATTGTGTGAACGAAAGCTCCACTAAGATTGCCTATATTACCCTTAATATTTCACGGTCTGTAATGTCGGTCAAAGTAACAGCCATAGTCATATTCCATATTTCACAGATCAAGTTACTCAAAACTGTATTTTTCCAGCTGACTTAACGCTTTATAATGCTTGATGTAGATTCACAGCCTACTAAGAAATTGTGACAGTTTGTTGCTGATTTGTATCTTTCCGTAGATTACAAAAAAACGATCAGTCATTTAAATTCTATTCACAATTTACCAAGCTTGTAAATTAAATAATAAAGAAAATCAAAATGTCAGACTAAAAAAAATGTCTTGATCAATAAAACTAAACAATATGTTAACTTTACTTTTGTGTAATATTTCACGCCAGGGAGCTCCAGGTTCAGTTGGTCTAACAGGCCCACTGGGTCCTATTGGGCCTCAAGGTCAAAATGGGGAGCCGGGTCCATCTGGACCTCCAGGAGCACCGGGTATACCCGGCTCTCCTGGTGAAATGGGCGCTCCTGGAGAAATGGGCAAGGAAGGAGTGCCGGGTCCTCCAGGACCCGAAGGGAAACCTGGACCCGCGGGATCGCCGGGCCCACCTGGGCAACTAGGTGAAACTGGAATGCCAGGACCACAGGTGAGATTTATAGTAATAGGAAGACGGCAAGGCCTTTTCAGGTAATAGGAGCATTTATCTATCTCACATATTTCAGTAACCGTTTTAGTATCTTTGGTAAAAAAATCGATTCAAATTTTATTCTTTGACGGGTGCTAAAATCAAGCAGACAATTCATTTTAGCCTTCCTCACTTCTGTATGTTCTGCAAATCCTGCTACTGATATACTTAATGATGTAAAATATAAAAGTATGGCAATGCGCTATCATTATATTATATTTCATAGGCCCGTACCAAGCCCTTTTCTTCATCCATTTTACTGGGAATATTCCCATTAAGCAATTCTTCGCCGGCTCCTGTGAAAGATAGATAATAGGTATCTATCTTTCACAGGAGCCGGCGAGGAATTGCTTGATATCGATTAAGGTGATGTGTGTAACGTTATTTGCGAAAACAATAGAATGAGACTACACGTGTCTTAATGAAGCATGGAATTAATTTGCCGTTATGAGTACAGCTTTCCATTATATAAAATTAAGTGTGTAAAGACCCATAGTTCATGTGGTATTAAATTAATTTGACGTTTCTGAGTGCGGCTGTTTGTAGCATATGTTAATTAAATATTATCTTCCACTTCTTAAACAAAATGAAAGATTATTTAATCTATCCTAGGGAGTATCTGGTAGTAAAGGTGACATGGGTCCGATTGGCCCGCCCGGCGCAAGAGGTGATAAAGGAGAACGGGGTGAACCCGGACATGAGGGGCCCCAGGGATCGATAGGGCGCGAAGGTCCACGCGGCCCCCCAGGCCCTGGAGGGCAGAAGGGAGAAATCGGAGAAGCTGGTCCAATTGGTAATAATCATCCAAAAGTAGTGTTTTCGCCATATTGTAAATAAGTTGTAAAAAAAGACACTTACTATATCAGTTTATGAATTAGCATTATTCACTAATACTTACTTCATTGTTTGGTTTTCTATCCATAAAGTTAATACTACAGCTTGGCTTGATTTCTTGGATATTATCCTACTAATGTATATTGTTTGGATGTCTGTAATTGAAGATATGAGTGAATGAAGGTGGTATGTTGTCGGTGAATTAGCATTATTCACTAATACTTACTTCATTGTTTGGTGTTCTATCCATAAAGTTAATACTACAGCTTGACTTGATTTCAAAGCAATTTGGATATTATCCTACTAATGTATATTGTTTGGATGTCTGTAATTGAGGATATGAGTGGATGAAGGTGGTATGTCGAATTTTTTAAATTTAAGTTTTTTTCATGAATGACGGTGTTATGTCAACTCTGAAGTCATAGCACCTTCAGATTTAAATAGTGAAAAAAATAATTGATTGAGGATCTGTGAACGCATAACACTCAACTTATTAGTGGAATAATGTGTATAATAATATTGGGCGCCTAACACTCGAATCCAATGATAAATCACAAAATTGTGTAATGTAATAAAGTGTTATGTATGTAATTGATAGATTCATTTTTTGATACGACTATAACTATAGCTATAGAGTTAGAGATATAAATATTGATTTACGAAAATATCTAAAAAAATAATTATTTTATAATTGAAAGTATAATTTCAACTCAATAAACACGTCAACATTATTGTTGTATTACTTTGTTGTAAAACTTTTCTTCACTCATCTTAACATTAGTTTTTCTTATTGTTAAGGTGAGTGAAAATGAAAATCACACATTTTTCTAATTTGAAATTGGAATTATCTCCTTTAAAATTTTAATGATACTAAAACCAGCCAGATGCAAATAGCATGGCCTTAGAGATTTTATTATAAGTTCATACATACTGATTGTGTAGTCGAACAAGTGCAACTTTTTAATAAGCTTCTGACTGATTTGTATGACATTCATACACCAATCCGACCCATTAAAATTAAGTCTCTACCTGCTCCTTGGCTCACTGAAGAGATTCGACGGTTGATGAGTAAAAAAAACAGGGCAAAGGCAAAGTTTAAACTAGATCCTTCAAATAGCAACGAGGCTAAATATAATCGTGCTAGAAACCGGTGCAACACCGTGGTCAGGGCCGCACAAAGACGCCACATTCATAAATCAGTGGTAAATGAAGACCCCGGGTAGGTTTGGAGATTCTTGAGATCAATGGGAGTTGGCAAGTCACATAGGTCCAATCCCTGTAACAATCTTGATGTCGATCAACTTCACAATTTTTCCTCTACAATCTCCATTGATGAGAAACATAAGCGTTTAACCTTACGTCATCTTTGATCCTCCCTTTGTCATACATCAATTTGCGGAATGTGATGTTAAGAGGACTATCTTGTCGATTAACTCCAGTGCGGTAGGCAGTGATTCAATTAGCCGCAAAATGATCCTGCCTATTATAAATATCCTGATTCCTGTAATCACAACCATTCTTAATACTTCAGTTTCTACTGAAGTTTTTCCTTCTTCCTGGAAAGACGCCAATGTGATTCCTCTCCCCAAATAATCAAATCATTCCTCTTTTTCGGAATTCCGTCCCATATCCATTCTTCCGTTTTTATCAAAAGTCCTTGAAAAACTAATATCCCTGGCAGCTTACGGCTTTTCTCAATTAGAACCACCTCTTCAACTCTTTTCAGTCTGACTTTCGTAGGGGCCACAGCACTAGTACCGCACTGGTTAAAATTTCGGACGATATCCGCCGAGGAATGGATAAACGGCAACTTACGTTGTTGACGCTGCTTAATTTTAGCAACGCCTTCAACTCAGTCGACTTTGACATTCTTTTAGGCGTTTTGGTTTCACTTAGCATATCTCCATCCGCAATTGAATGGTTTCGAAGTTACCTGCTAGGCCGCCGACAGCGTATCCGTATTGACAACACCTTGTCTTCATGGTATGATATCAATGCCGGTGTTCCTCAGGGTGGCGTCCTATCTCCTCTTCTATTATCTATCTTTATAAACTCTATTACACTGTCACTTTCATGTTCATATTACCTTTATGCTGATGACCTCCAAACATACACTCAGGCCCCTTTATCTGACTAGTGAGGTCGCAATTTCTGATATCAACAGAAATTTCTCGCTTATAAGTAGTTGGGGTGAGTCATTTGGTATTAAAACCTTAATCCTTAAATCCAAAAAAAACTCAATCCATCATAATTGGTAGTCCTTATTTTATTTCCAGGATGAACTTTAATCATTTGCCTTCCATTATTTTGAACGGTTCTATTATTCCCTACTCAGAAACCGTCAGAAACTTGGATGTTGTCTGTGACCAGAGTTTTACCTGGAAACCACAGGTGGAGGTGGTCAGAAAAAAGGTGTTTGCTGCTTATGGTTCCCTTAGTCGTTTAACTTTTTGCCGATCAGCACCAAAATCAACTTGGCAAATTCTCTGTTGTTGTCCATCGTCGACTACGCTGACGTTTGCTACACCGATTTGTCGGAGGAACTCCTCAATAAATTAGAACGACTTCAGAATGTTTCTATCAGGTTAGTTTTTAATCTCCGTAAATATGACTACGTGTCTCACTTCCGTAATAAACTTAATTGGCTCTCTATTCGCCGGCGCAGAGATCTACACACTCTAACGGTTCTCTATTCTATACTTTTCCTGCCATCTTCCCCACCTTATCTTAAGCAGTGTTTCTCATTTCTATCCTCTTCTTCACAACTCTCGCTGAGATCTTCTTCTAACCTACTTCTTGAGATTCCCTGTCACTCTTCTGACTTCTTTTCTTACTCCTTTTCTGTGCACGCTGCTCGATTTTGGGAATCACTTCCTGAGGGTATCAAAAAGGCTTGTTCGCTTAATTCCTTTAGCGATCAAAGTAAAAGCTATTTCCTTTCTTTATTTTAAATTCATTTAATATCCCATTTCTTTGCTTGTCTTATACATATTTATGTAAGTGTAGCTCCTGTAGCTACTTTTGCACCCTTCTATATTTCTCTATTATTATTCTTTTTCTACCATAGGTTGCCTGGAAGAGATTGCTGTTTAGCAATAAGGCCGCCTATTGTACACTTTCTTCTGTTTTAGTCTTGTGTCTTTTATTGTGTGCAATAAAGAATATTTATTATTATTATTATAATGCGTAAAAACTATTTCCCCAACCTGTTAAATTTTTTTTTTTCTAACAATATTATATACTAGAATAAAGACGTAATTAGGTACCAATATTTTTTTGAAAGTCCAGGCTTTACACTTTCATTTCTACAGCTAAAAATTTTGTAACACAAATTATATCTTGTTTTTGTTTTTGTATCATATCACCTTCATCCACTCATGCCTTCAATTGTAAAATGGATAAACGGATTTGGATAAAATTTTGCATACAGATAGTTTATTACCTAGATTTCCTAATGTATATACGTAGGATAATATTTTCTCTCAAAAAACGAACTATATTTTGACGACCTCCATGGCCGAGTGGTTTGTGCGCCGGGTTTCATGGTGTCGCCGACTCGAGAGGTCCCGGGTTGAAATCCCGGTAGAGGCAGATGTTTGTGTGATGTATAGGAGCATTTGTACTCCAGTCATGGATGTTTAATATGTATTTCTATAAAAATATACTTATCTAAGTATCAGTATATGTACTCTATCCGTTATCCTAGTATCCCATAACAAAAACGTTACTTTGGGGCTAGGCTAATTGGTGTGTGTTGGAAATATTAATTTTTTTATTTTATATAGTGATACACGTAAACCCGTATTTTTTACTCTAAATCCGTGGTCTAAGTAGCCAAGTAGCTTTCAACTCAGCCAAAAGTGGGTCAAGCGAGTTGCGATACAGTTTTAATGTCTAATTAGTTAACGTAACTGTTATTCAAGCGAAACTCAATCAACTACTTTATTTTAAGTACTAGAATTGTTCAAGTGCAATTAGTTTTAATTTTTTGAATCGATATTTATATTTCTATGCTATACACTCGTCAACACTTTATGAAATGAAAGCAGCTTTCCAAAATTAAAGACGTCGTGTCAATATTCAACCTTCAGGCTCTAAATTAAGAACGAACGGAATTTCCGGGACTAATTAGTCGTTTATTAAATTTAGGGTAAAATTGCAAAGCAATCGAAGCAACAATGTGTTATTGTTGTGGCGGCGACATATACACACCCCACATACTCGTAGTTTAGTTTAGTTTTTCAGGGCGATTTCCGCATTTCGTCCTAATTATTGGTACATTGTGGGTATCTCGAAACATTCCCGTTTACTCCAGCCAGCCTAAGTTAATCCAGAAGAAAAGCAGCTTTGGCAAACTGCTGCAAGCTTCCGGAAAGGATTCTGGTGACTGGCGAAGTCGTGAACGTTGGTCGGCCACACTCCTGCATTCCATGATGACATGCTCTGCATAGGGGGCTGTCTGTTACTCTTATTGTATATAGGCGTTTGTGTAGGGGACAATGACCAGTCAGGGTTCATATTATCTTGCGGAGTTTGTTACTATTTGGTCTGGTAAGGGTGCGGGCAAATCTCTTGTTTGCCTTTGGAACTGCTTTCTTCGTTTGCCGGCAGCCTTCGCCTGTTTTCCACTATGTCAAGTGTGATTTCTGAGTTCTTTCACGCTGCCACGTTTTAATTTGCGCCTGAGGTATGGGCAGCAAGGATTCCGGACCATACACTTTTGTGTCTGCTCCTCTCTTAGCCAGTTCATCTGCTGCATCGTTTCCAATTGAGTTGCCGTGTCCTTTAATCCGTTGCAGAGTTACCGTGTTGGTTACCGCAATGGATTGAAGTGCATTGTGGCACTCCATTACCAGGACAGAGTTTATTGTGGTGCTCTTAGGTCTTGAAGCACGGATGCACTGTCAGAGATGATTTTACAATAATGTTGTACTCTCTGATGTCTCTGGCTGCAACCGCCTGTTGCAACCAGAGACAACCGCCGCCCTGGTAATGCCAATACATTCCGTCTAGAAGGAAGTACATTCCCCACATATTACTAACATGGAGGAAATAAGCTTACGCCGCCTCAATAGATGACGTTACCGGCGCTGCGCTCACAACGTATGGAAGCCTAAATCGCGCATATAAAATTCGAAGGCTAACACTTCATATATACGATGCCTGGCAGACATCAGCTCCGCTCGGATCACGGCCCCCGAGCTACCATCACCTAGCTCGGAGAACGATCGTCCACCCCGAGCTTAAGCAATAACGGAGGAAGATCTTCCTCCGAGCTGGGTTATTGTATACCTTTGCTTTGACTGTGCTTTTACTTTCTACTGCTTCTGTGCTGGTGAATCACTGACTGTACTCTGTAACTCCTTCTATTCTATATAATTTCCTCTGTGCTAGTACAATAAACTATTAAGTGGAATGTTGGACTTATTACTTGCATCGCCTCCCAACTGCGCCGCAGATAAGTACAAAACGACCTATATACCTACATCAATAACGCAATATTGTAATAACTCGGACACAGCAGATGCGAAAGTGCCACAACTTTTAATAATGTGCAACCAGCAATCCGTTCACCCTTATCACGTCCATCTCTCTGCGTGACAGCAGACCATCGTTCTTCTTAATGAAAAATATTCATAACACGCCTATTTTTATGACACATTCATTTATTGTTCTTTTTGAATGAGAGTGTTATTTCATAACACTTTATTGCTTTTGTGGGAGATTGGAAAACAAAATATTATACTACTTACATTGTTGTTGGTTGAGTAGATTCATTATACAAATACCATTAAGTACTTTAACATGATTATACCAAAAAAATATATTGTTACCTAATAATACAATTACTCAAATAACAGACCAATAAAAGGATTAAACAACTTTCATAAAGTTATGTTTTTAATTTTTAAGCAGTTAAGTGCTAGATCTAGTCTTAGGCTGCAAGATAGCGCTATCTCTTTGCATTGTAGTTAACCCACAATGTCACATAAATACCTTTACAAGTATTAAACATTTGAGAGAACAAAAAACAAGTATAGTTATGTGTGTTCATTGTGGGTTACCTACAATGCGAAGAGATGGCGCTGCCATGCAGCCTAAGGCTAGAGAAAAATTCGACACGGCCGTCAGGGCCGCGGTAGCATAATGGTCAGTGTATTCGCCCGGATAGCGAAGGGTGCGGGTTCGAGTCCAGTCTGCTGCCTGGTATGCGTGGATTCTTTTTCTAGTAAACTTAACTTTCATAAAGTTACTTGAAGGCTAATCAGAAACCTGCCTCAGATAATTAAGTTTCACTCCGCAAAATTTACGGTATTCTGTACGAGATATCGTTCATTTCATTACATAATCATATTTTGAAATATATTAAAAAATCCATAAATATTAGAGATGACTTAAAAAGATATCCAGGAACAGGGATTATTTTACGTTTATAAAACAATAATTCAATAAAAATTACTTAAAGAAATCGAAATCTAAGTTATAAAGAAAAGAATATTATGGAGATTTACAAAAATATAATAATTCCTTCAAGGACCCGTGGGTAGAGATGGCCTACCAGGACCTAGGGGACTGACAGGTGCTCCAGGACCCGTCGGACCTCCTGGTGAAGACGGGGACAAGGGCGAAGCTGGTCCACCAGGCGAAAAAGGATTCAAAGGAGCAAATGGAGAACCCGTGAGTAGTTTTGCCATGAAGTATTGTTACTACTGAAGAAAATCTTAATACAAAATAAATTCTAAAATAAATAAAAAACTTTTAAAATTTTATCGGGACAATTTTATAAATTGAAAATGTTTAATCCACACATTCATATTTGTTTCCAAAGACTACTGTTTTTTTTGCAGAAGCGTTAAACATTCATGCAATGCAACTAAGTTCAAGAGTTAACGTTACTAAAGTATAGAAAAATAAGGTTTAGCTACAACTTAGACCAGCTTAGACTATTACCAACACTAATCTAAACATGAACAAGGTGAGGTATCAATTATGGATAATTTTACCTTATAAACATGTTGCGTTACAAACAGGGCCCGTCAGGTTCTCCTGGTATTCAAGGATTGCGAGGTGAAACGGGACCAGTTGGGTTACCTGGCGATAAAGGTCCCCAGGGCGATCTGGGACCACCTGGCACAACAGGTGCCGACGGACCCAGAGGATTGCCTGGTCCACTCGGACCGACTGGACAGCAAGGAGAAAAGGGTCAACCAGGACCGAAAGGAGATACCGGAGATCCCGGACAAATGGGTAAGAAGATTTTTGAAGAGGACTACTTAACTTACTAATCTGTAAATGTAGGAATCTTGTTTTGAGAATTATTTAGGTACTAACTCCATTAGCAACATGTCACCCCTATTTTGAGATAAAATGTTGTGTGCCATATTTCTACAAACTAATACATGTGAACTTATTTTTTAGCGTCGTTAGGTAGCGCTATTTTATGGAGACATTCTGCTTATGTGGTGGAATATTTTGCCTTGTAGACTGATTTTGTTTGATAGGTAGGTGTTCATACATACCTATCCAACAATATCAGTCTACAATTGATAGCAGTTTGATTCATGATATTGTTAGTAAGAACACAAGACAAAGAATATTTTCATAACTTTACTTCTATGAAAATGTTCTAATTGGAAATTATTCTGAATACTGTGAAAACATTTTTGTAATCTAAACTGCTCCTTGTTTTCAAAAGAGGCCTTTTAAATAATATTTTGCCTCCTGTTTTATTCCTTGATAAGTTTTTATCAAAGATCTTACCCTAATCGCCTTCGAACTGTTTGCAGGACCCACGGGCCCGACGGGATCTACTGGGCCACCTGGAAGAAGAGGTCCTAAAGGCTCCCCTGGGGAGCCAGGCCCGAGGGGGGCAGAAGGACAGCATGGCGATACCGGAGCCCCCGGAGCACCCGGAGCCCCTGGCCCTCAGGGACCTGAAGGGAAATTGGTATGATTCACTTTCTGTTGTCACTGTTTCGAAATGATGTTTAATTCATAATCTTTTGAACTGATTATTTTAAAGATAACGCTTTCGAATTGTTTAATAAGTAATCAAGGTACTTAGTGTTTTTGATATGGTTATCAATTTGTTTACTCTTGACTGTGTGCAAGTAAGTAATATTTAGGTATGGCAAGTATGATATAGGGCGCTACTCATTATTAAAATTTAAATTAAGTTACATTCAAAAATAGTTTCTTTTTTCAATCAAAATAAGAAAAAAAACGAGTGTTTAACTTGTATTGTCAGTCTTTTAATAACCTCACTGCTATGGTACAAGCCATTCCTCCTTATGGATGGAATAGGTAGATTAGGCTACGATTTAAACGAGAGCTTAATACAGATAGGTAGGTGCCGACGACTGCAGGTTCAGCCTGGACCAATGGCTAAACAATTCTTTCAAATTTTTGTTCACCCATCGTATATGTTGCCAAGCAAATGTTGCTAAGCTTCCACAAACGCAGACCGAACGCGCTTAAATCATCGAGCTCATCAACCTTAAGTTAAGTACTTATATTCACTAGTTATGTACACAAGCTGATAGTCAATTTGGATAAATTTAAATTATTTAACTAACATTTTGTTCTCTAGGGTCCTCGAGGGCCGCTTGGGCCTAAAGGCGACGATGGTCCAACAGGTCTACAAGGCGAAACTGGACCCAAAGGACCTCCAGGGATTGAGGGTCCTAAAGGTGATTTAGGACCCGCTGGCCTACCCGGTGAGAGGGGTGAACCTGGACCTCAAGGTCTCAGGGGTGAACCTGGAGCAGATGGGCCAGAAGGAAGCAATGGACCACCGGGATCTCCTGGACCAGTGGGACCACAGGGCAAGCCTGGAGAAGCGGGATTGCCTGGCAACCCAGTAAGACTTTTTATGTCCCAATTACTAAGTATAGAAATTTTCTACTTTCTAACTACCCTCCATTTTTTAAACTGTAGTTATATTAGAATCTCCGACGCCACCTAGGTTGGCTGGAAGGGATCTCTTTTACAGATAAGCCCATCTTTGCTTTCTACTTACTTTATGTTGTATGTATTATTTTATAAGCAATAAAGAGTTAAAAAATGGCTATTAGAAAGCCACTCTCTTAAATATTTTTAAAAAATTATCGAAGTGTTCTTACAAAATTGTGGTCGATGTAAGAATTTGTGCCATCATATTAGATTTAACACTCTCATTTCTTTACAGCTAGTGAAAGTAAAAAAAGTGCCAAGAAAATACGTTTCATTAATTATTCATTACAGAATCCCATTAATTGTTCATTACAGCAGCAAAAGCCATTGAAAAGCACATATTGTGCCTGCTGAGAAACAAACAAACAGATAGTGACAGTTTATTAATAAAAAGATTCCGCTATAAATCTTTGAGTTTATAATACAAAAAATAGAATAATTGAAAATTTGTTTTGAAATTTATAATATAGATCAGCAATACTTTTTATAATAAGCAATTGATATCCGGGTGTTTACTCATAGGGTACCGAAGGTGCAGCAGGTTTACAAGGTAGCCCGGGCGCTCCTGGGGAAAAGGGGGACACTGGCCCAAAGGGAGCACAGGGCGAGCCTGGTCCATCAGGGCCCGTTGGACCACCAGGAGAAGTAGGCCAGCGAGGGATACGAGGACCTCCAGGCCCTGTTGTAAGTTACATATATATTTTTATAACTTAAAGTTGTAAGTGTAAATCAACAAAATATTTAAATTACTAGCGGCTCGGCCCGGCTTCACACGGGTGTATTAAATACTATGGAAACTTTACATCTAGAATACAAAGAATAATCCCTCCGTATCAGAAGGACAATCAAGTAAAATGCCCTAGAGGAATAGATAACGTTAAAGCAAAATGACCTACTAGTAAAAAATTAAATCTAATAGTACATCAGTGAAATGTAGATTACTTACCCAATATACACCTATAAAATAAATAATTTTATATTTTGTTTACTTAAATGTACATAACATCACAGGTAAGTAATTTTGCCCAACATGCCGTTTATACATTTCTGACGTTCTACTAGTAGGTATGAAGATTTTAAATTTCAGAGGTTTTACTTGTAGGTCATTTTACTATAATGTCATTTTATATGAAACACGTTTTTTTAAGATTCAGTTTAGTTTATCAAAGCCAAGTTTCAAAGCTGTCAAGCTAGCTAAATTTGTTTATCCATACAAAATTTGAACCCTATATGACCCAATTCACGGTACAATATTCAAAAATCCTTTCTCGCTTGATGCCGACGTCTTATAAACAACCTATTTACTAAATATCATGTCTCTACGACCAAAAGTGTAGGCGTGCGTTGACGCACTATTTTTAACTTCAACATGCTATATATCTTTGTTCTATGAGGGTAGTTTTGAAAAATGAAACACAGATAGCATTTTAATTTCATACAGAGTAGATGTACAAAATTTTTGGATGATCTCCCATACAAACTTTGACAAGAAATTTTGTAATTTTTTGAGGGTAGTTGTTAAAAATTCTGTCTCGGCTTAGTGTGAAATAATGTTTATGCAAAATTTGCAGTCAATAGGTCCAAGGGATAATATTATACGAACAAACGTTTTTTTGCAAATTTTACGCTTAAGAAGCTGAATTTCAAAAATTCCCATCTTATTACTCGTCTAGGCAATAATAGGAACCTGCTGTCCAAATTTCATCTTTCTAGGTCCAGCCGTTTCGGCTGTGCGTTGATAAGTCAATATGTCATTGTATCCTTTTCTCTCTTTATATAAAAGTATAGATAACCTGATGCGATTAGTAGCTTAGTATTGTTGGTTTATCAATCACTATTAAATGTTAATATTCAAACATCACGATCAACAGTTAATTTAAAATTCAATTATTTGGTAATTGAGATTTCTGCATTTCGTAAATTACTTACTTTTACTATTTTTCTCGTAATTAATTTTAAATGCCGTGTAATACCTATCATGGACATACCTATCACATAGTAGCAGATGGATCTGAATCTTTAATCATAGTCAGTCAGTTTCATATAGTTCCAAGAAACTCAAATCATATAACTTTACAATCCAGATAATGTGGAATATATAAATATTAACAGGGCGAAACCGGTGCACCTGGGATCATGGGGCCGGTTGGGCAACCTGGTAAAATAGGACCTCAAGGGCTCCAGGGACCAAGAGGGGAAAAGGGGGGGAGAGGACCGAAAGGCCACATTGGAGATACGGGTCCAATGGGTTTGAAGGGTGACCAGGGGGAAATTGGGAAGCAAGGACCTCCTGGACCCACTGGACCATCGGGACCAAAAGGAGAAATGGTAAGATTCACATTTTCATGAAATTATTGAAGTATGTGGAAGAATGCTCTCATTAAAATCCACGACTTGTTGGTTGCAGAAACAGTCATTGTGACTGAATTCGATACTTTTATACTTTTTCGGTATAATATATTTTATCGACTTTTCAGAGCATCAGTATTTTTGGAGGTAAAATTTATTCTGGTGACACTGGAAACAGTGCTCCTGCCTTTTGCTCCGATAGCCCTGGGTTTGAATCTCAGTAGACATTTATTTGTGTGATATGCACAAATATTTGTTTCCGAGTCAAGATTGTTCATAAAATTATTCACACGTCATTCAAATATATTGTTTCACTTTCCATACTTAATGCTCTGTTTAATTTGGGACTACATAATTGTTAAAAGTTGTCTAGTATTTAGGAAGAATGATTTTTACAGTTATATGTTTTTTAAATCCTTAGCAAACGATAAAACTACTATTTGAAAACAAACAGTTTTTTTTATTATCACCCTGTCACATAGTATGATTAACATGTAACATTTCACCATCCGTTTCAGGGACCGATCGGCCCCGCAGGTCCTAAAGGTGACACCGGTCCTACTGGCACACCAGGGCCGGAAGGGGCTGTCGGGCCCAAGGGTAACCCGGGCCCTGAAGGCAGGCCGGGGCTTTCAGGCCCACCCGGATCGCCGGGGCCCCCAGGCCCGCCGGCCCCGCCGCCAATACTGCCGGCGGAACTGTTCGCGTCGACTAGGAGACGGAGAAGCGTAGACAATGATGTTGAAACCTCTACGGATGACGACATCGAAGGTCAGGAATTTAAATGATTAATTTAAATTTGTGTTTTTTACATTCATCAGGTGTCTTGCAGAATTTGGTTGTTTGCACAGTGTACACTTTTGTCGTACACATCAGATTTTATCCACTTTTTGTTTGTCCTTTCAAAGCTCACTGACTCACTGACAGTCAGTTACTGACTTTGAGCATGTCAGTGCAGCAATAACATTATAACGGTAAGTGTATTTACAGAAGATGGAGAAGAGGAGGACCATACCTGGTGGGTGCGTCAAGTGATGTCGGGCGTTGTGTCAGCGCGCGCGGCGGTGGAAGCGGCACGGCACCCACGCGGCACACGCGCCTCGCCCGCGCTCTCCTGCCGCGACCTGCGTGCTGCACACCACAACCTCACCGACGGTAACCTCATAGCTGAGGGACTGCTGCAGGGGGCACGACCATCGCAGAAGAATCCCTAAACGGGGATCCCGTGGCTTCGCACTAAGCAGCTTAGAGGGTATTCGCAGGGTTTTTAGCGGATATTATGCCGTAAAGCGCCCGTAAGAGTTACGGGGTCCTGTGAACAGCCACTGCGGGGGCCCGTAAAGCTTGCGGGAGCCAGGTGTGAGGTCCGTTCGGCGGTGTGCCTCTTAACGGCGCCGTCCTCTGAAAACAGAGGTTTTGCCTGCGTTAACAAATAAAAAAAAGAAGGGGGGGCACGATCATCACCCACCCCGCCTACCCAGTGCCGATAACAAAGACTGCAAATGCAGCCAAGACAAACGCCTTAACTTGCCTACAAAAAAACACAAAAAAGCTCGGGATAGTTAATTTTTGGTCACCCATCCTAAGACCGGTGAAAATTGTTTACCTTCCTCGATCGCAGAACGCTATAACCTCTTGGGCCATCCTGAGCCTCCTCGACGGTATGCAACTGCAACTCACGCTATCATAAGAGCTACAACATGCGACTCTGCACAGCATATCGCACTATTTAGTTTTAGATACAGTATGATACATATCGGTTCAGTGCTCCATCCATACAATAGATATAGAGAATTGACTGCGACTGAGTTCCCTAACTAACTATGCTGATGAGGACGCTAATAGAGTCAGATTATAACCAGCCCTATTCATAAATATAGTTATCTCCAGGTTACTACTGGATAGACGCTCGCGGTGGTGACCGGCCCATCCGCGTCTACTGCAAGGGATCCAATACTTGCGTGTATCCGGACAACGCCGAGCAAGCTCTGTACACGGCCGATGACAAACATCGCTTCTCGCAGCTGAACAACGGATACAGGGTAACATATATTACCTACTATCAGTATCACCTCCAGGTTACTACTGGATAGAACCTTCCGCGTCTACTGCAAGGATTCCAATACTTGTGCGTATCCGGACAACGCCGAGCAAACTCTGCACACGGCCGACGACAAACATCGCTTCTCGCAGCTGATCAATCGTAGAAAAAACACGAACAACAGATACAGGCTAAAATCAAAAAAATCGAAAAATCAATATCGTTTATTCAGTCTAGGCTGTTACAATCACTTATGAATGTCGAAAAGCTATGCCATCGGTTCGCAAATCTACGGCGGGAGACCTTGTACTAAGAAGAACCGGCAAGAAACTCAGCAAAGGCTGTTTATTGTCTCTGTGAGATAACTCATGAAGTCACTTTCCATTACAAATGTAAAAATTATGACTATGAAATAAAAAACATAAAAACTGATTTAACAAAGTTTAGGAATGCCGTGTCCTAGTGTTTAGGCATAAAAAATTAACGATTAAACAAATATTACCTAATTTCAACACCAGGTTACTGCTGGATAGACGCCCGCTGTGGCGATCGGTTCTCGCAACTGAACAACGGATATAGGGCAACAAATATTGAAAGTATATTGAGAGAATCTTGTTATTGAACTCTGCCAGGTTTTGGACAACATTTTCAAATGGTGTACTGAGAACTTATTGAGTGAATGTTGAGAAAACCCATGTGTGGACATGTGCGGTAAAACGTCGCCATTATTTCCCCTTCTTTATACAAACATATCGAAGGCGCTCCGGAGCAGTATCATCATGCTAAGAATGGAGCTTCCACTCCGCTATAAATTAAGTTGATTCCAAAGGCTTTCTATCGCTCTTCACGTAAAATGAAAGCGTGAAAAAAACACCATCACGATAACATGGGAATCCTGAAATGGACGCGTAATTTTTCACATTCAATAAATTCCTTCCTACCGGGTCGGTACCTAAAAAAACCTGGAGCTCTACTCTCTTTCTCCGAAACGAAATTTCGGTAACGAACGAATTTCAAACGAAATTTCGCCAGTGTCTCTACTCTATTTCATTTTCGAACAGGCACACTAACTTCGGAACCATAAACAGTTTTCGTGAACGAATGGAATGAGTCATGTTTGTGAGTTCTTTTTATCTCTACTTTTAATAAAACGTTTTTTTTACTTGGAAACAATATAGGTAGTTTACGGCAAAATTTTTGATGACATTAAAAGAACCTTCTTTGACAGTGTTAGCCGACTAATTTGTAGAGTCGATACAATCTACTGTATGTCAACCTCAATTTGTCGTTTAATACTTTGAAGTATCGAAATTACAAAAAATAATAAAAAAAATGGTTTATTTGTTAATTCTACATGCTAAAAATGTTACTCGAGCTAAGCAGCTATTTTTAAAAATACTCTTGCAAGTATTTTAGGCTTAATTAAAACAAAAATCTCAAAACGAAAATGAAAAGGTAACACTTTTCATTTCGTTGATTTGAGGTTAAAATTTCGAACAATTATCTGTCAAATTCAACTTTTCCTTCGAAAGTTTTGTGAATTAAATTGTCAAAATATTTCGGACGAACGAATTTTCGAAATGAAAAGGAAACAGAGTAGGGAACGTGCGAAATTTCGATCGAAATTTCGTTTTTCGTTGAAATAGAGTAGGCCTCCTGAATCCGAATTTGATATCGACTCCGGTATCACACGACACGCTAATTCACGCTTTTTTATTCTAGTTGTACAGACGCAAGTGCGGTCTTGCATACTTACTCGATGCTTTGGATATGTACAGCGACGCGATATTAATTGACTTTTATATTTTTATTGTAGATAAGTTATGACGGCGAGGGCTATGGAATTATACAGCTGCGATTCTTACGATTGTTATCGAATGGAGCGAGACAAAACTTCACCTACACCTGTGTTAACACCAACACCGTGCAAAGGTACTGTACATTATAATCAAATAAACCTTGAATCGTTATCAGTCTATTAATATGCCCACTGCTGGAGCACAAGCCTTCCCTATGAATGGAATAGGGAGATTTGATCATGTACCCAGTGGCGTAGCATAGGGGGGGCGGGGGGTGCGGTCCGCACCGGGCGGCACTTTGCCGGGGGCGGCGCTGCGGAGGTGGCAGATAGAGAAAAAAAATTAAAATATAAAAAAAAGTTAATTTCTTGCAGTTTTTTTTCGTCATTTTTTTGTTGTTGTTACCAAATACCCAGGTACCTATGCAGGTTCTATGCATGGGTGATGCAAGGGCAAGGTTTGCTCTGTAATTTTTCTAAGTGATATTGTGATAGTCTACCTTCTACTCTATGTCAAAAAATGTTAATTTCACTCTTAGGTTAGTGTTATTCGATAAAAGTACTCTTTTTACCATGCCTCAATTTTTTTTTATAATGGATTGCAAAAATAAGAGGGCGGCAAATTTGGAATCCGCACCGGGTGCTAGTGACCTATGCTACGCCACTGCATGTACCACGCGGGCCCAGTGCGGATTGGTGGGTGCTAACGACTGCAGATGTAGCTGGAACCAAAGTCTTAACGAGCTTTCCGAAACATGGATTAACTCGAGATAGAAGATTTTTGGTCACCCGTCCAAGAGCTCCACAAACCTTGAATATCCTTACTGAAATAGGCCTTCTGTTTTATCTTGTCCTATTGACAGAATAAAGTTTGAATTGCAAAATCACATCAGTGCGGATTGTGGTGTACTAACGACTGTAGAAGCAAGCTAGGCCAACAGAACATGCTTACGTATGTGCTAAGAGCAAGATAAACTTAAAATTCCAACTTCGTAAACGTTAAATTTAAACATTGAAATTTTATGTTTAGTGACACATAAGTACCAACTTACTTCTGCATCTGTGATAATACTTCGTCTATTTCCCAGATCCGATATTCCAGATGAAGTCACAAGAGCGCATAACATCAAATTATTCGGCTACAATTCTGCTGAATTTAAAGAGCCACGTTTGATAAAAGACAACTGCAAGGTAATCTTAGACACAACCACAAAATATTATCTTTATTAGCCTATAATTTGACATACCAGAAATTCATATCGAGAGCGCTTTCTCCGAGGATAAAAAAATGAGAAAAAACAATACTACTAGCTATACACAAGCAGCAGTACCTAAGACGGGGCTGTGGCCCAGGAACTTCCATAAAAGAGGGGCCCCCACAATTAAGTTAAAAAAACAACCAAATTTCGACGAGTCACCATCACATAAAAACGGAAGTCCATACAACGCCTATTTTTCCTCTGAGAAAGTCTGTTCTGAACCATAATACCTACTCACTTTGGTCTTTCTTTATCTTTACAGGAAGGCGTAGGTGAAATAGTACTAGAAATCCGAACTTCTAGGAGCGAAAAATTGCCCATTAGCGACTTCCAGCCTCCGTCCTTCACCGACGCTCACCATCAGTTCACGTTCACAGTGGGACCGGTGTGTTTCACTTAGGTCCCCTAAAAACATGAGGGTAGCTTTAACATTATGTACTTAAGACTGGAACCTTGTAAATATTGTAAATATATTTGTGATGACTGATCTTGTAGTTTTATTTCTAATATCTATAAATTTGTATTATGCAAAACATTTAAAGAGCGTTTTTAAACCTGGGCCCTATCGGGAACCCAAGGAACCCTGACTAGGAGTAATATAATATTAGAAATCCGAAAGTGAGAACTGGCACATTAGCGACTTCTAGCGTCCGTCCTTCACCGACGCTTACAATCAGTTTACGTTCACAGTGGGACCGGTTTGTTACACTTAGGTCCCCTATAAAACATGGGTAGCTTTAACAGTATGTACTTAGGACTGGAACTTTGTAAATATAGTAAATACTATTGCATTTTTATTTCTTATATCATATCATATATAGATATAATATTATATGTTTCAGACGTTACGGGGTCATATACACCGCTCTCTATGAAACCACGCCATTTTGTTTACTAATACAGCGTTCGGTCGTACATAAAGATTCACAGCTGTATTACGGCCGCTATATGACGGCAACTTGCTGCCGACGAAGCAAGTGGACCTAGAAAGTAGAAGCGTTGAAAATCTAATTATATTGCTCCAATTTTCTGTTTTTGTCCACACGATCGGCGTTGATACATTTGTTGTCATCCGTCCCTCATGGACGTTCATACCTTCATACTAATATTATGCGAAAGTGTGTCTGTCTGTTACCTCTTCACGCTTAAAAAGCTGAACCGATACAGATGAAATTTGGTATAAAAATAGTTTTGAGTCCCTGGAAAGGACATAGAATAGTTTTAATAAAAGATATCGGGATCGATTGATCGTCCTTGAAAGGGGGTGAAAAGGCGATGGAAGTTTGTATCAGAAACCAATTTTTCCACGCAGGTGAAGTCGGCGGACATCTAGATTAACAAATCTCTACATTAACAAATGTTAATAGTTATTATTCTGACATCGATGTCGAACCGAACTGATGGTAGCTATCGCAATTTATATGTACAGTGGTGGTCACATAATTAAAGACACCCCCTAATTAACCACAAAAACTTACTTATGGTACTAACATTAGCTGAAATTGGTATATAATCCAGTTTAATTGTAATTAAACCATACACGACGTTGTATTCTTACAATGTGGGACAAAAAATAGTTGTGTTCGTTAGTAGTTTAGACACTGCTCACTATGGGAACGTAACACAAACTTTTTTAACGTATTTAGGGGAAGTAGGTATCCTACTGGCGCCGAAAACCAATCAACCAATCATGATCGTTTGTGCATTTGACACAGCACCGCCATGATAGTTATCCGGCGGCGAAGTTGCGAACCCACAACATTACTTGTTTTGTTTTAAAAATTTAAAAAATCTGTTTTCGACTTTTTTTATACATATCTACGATTGCACTTGCAGGTAAGCACTTTTTTATTCGTGTGCGATAACATTGTTTTTAGAGGTTATTTTTTTTATTTAAAGGGCAAGATGGGTTATAATGTACCCCGTCTTACCCGCCCTGAAGTTGCTTTAAAGTTCATTTTGCTAAAAAGTGTAACGATATGTAAGAAACAAATGGCATTCATTTATTTTTGTAGAATGGTGAAAAGTTATAAAAGAAATTCGAATAGAGGAGATTGGTCAGAGGAGACCATGAGAAATACGGTGGACTCTGTGGTACAAGGCAAAATGGGTCAAAATTTTGCTCGGCATAGGGCAGCATGGCTTGTTCTAAAATGTTCTTGTACTGAAATTTATCCATGTTGCCTTCTATTTTCTTGACAGGTCCAACACCAAGTCCTGAGAAACAGCCCCAAACTTTGATATTTCCGCCCCCATGTTTAACTACTTTCTTGGTATACTTTGGATCCATTTCTTTGTTCGGGGGGCGTCTAACATATTGTTTTCCGTCAGAATTATTCATATTAATTTTTGTTTCATCAGAGAAAAGCACATGTTTCCATTCTCGTTCAGTCCAGTGTACATATTTTTTAACAAATGCTAATCTTGCCTTAAATATTCTAAAAGTATTTTTACATGATGCAATTAACATCGAAAGAGATGCAGCTAATGGTGGTCGATGGACCATAACATTCTCTCACCTACGCATGTATCTGTCTATGTTAGTCGTTATGATGTGTGACCCAGATCTAATAATTGCTTCGCGGGTTATTATTCTAACATGGAATCGGTAGAACTCTTAGACATTTGTAATATCATTGACACTGTTCATAAGAAATCTGACATTGAAGTAGCAGGTGCAGGTGTCAATAACGACCCTATTGTTAGGAAAAAAATAGTAGATAAAGGCATTAATAATTTTACTGTCTAAAGATTCCCGCCAAACAGTGACAGTAATTCCAAAATCGACTACTGCCAATAAAATAAGGACTTGCCTCTATTAATCAATTTGTAGCGCCATATTCAGCAGGCAATAAATATGAGAATTACATTACTGAACGATCAATCTACAGAACAATCGTCAAACAATTGTGCAAAATAAAAGCCGTGTTCCTGTCTAACAGATAGCTTACATTTTCCAAATAACTGTTAGCGATACGAAGTACGCCGGGTCCTCTAGCTAGATAGACAATAAAAATACGCAGTATGTTTTGTCTTATAGACTACATTTAATATATCTATCACCATTCATATAAAGTTGTGATAAAACGCACGATATCCAGTTTACAATGACAACTTAAATTATTTACTGCATGTCTAATTATTTATTATGAAATTAAAAAGATAGCGCGGTCAAGACATATTTATCTACGAAAATTAGGAAAGTACCTAATAATAAATGAAAACAGTGAAATATAAAATATAAATCATCCGCATTTACCATTCAGACTTTACTTTGGCTCATTTTCAATTTATCAATAGCAGAATAATTCGCGTAATAATACGATACCATTTTTAGCTTAAATAAAATTTGTCTGAATAATTAATTAATGCCAAGAATTAAGGAGAATACGGGCCTGATTCTTGCATGATCTACTAAACCTTAAAACTAAATTTGACAATAGTATATTCTTATCATGTTCTATCGAGAATGAAAAGGAAAAGACTGTTATAAAATTAAGTTTAAGATTTAAAAATCATGTCAGTATCTGGCCTTACGTCCTATTCTATACATTATCTTGGTTGTCATGCCGCAGCTAACATTATTATTATTCTGAATGTGCCATAAAATAGCGATTTAATTTAAAAAAAACGAGCAGTTATATAAATAATTACTCTATGCTTTATGGTACAATTGAAGCAAAGTTACTGATCAAAATTACATACTGTTCTTCAAAAGTCACCAACATTTTACAAAACATTTAAGCTAAATTAGCTAACGATTGCACTCAGAAACGTGATTTGATCGTTTTAAAAAAAGCGGATGCTGTCACATTCTTCGCGATAGCAATAGAAAAAAACGAAACTTCACTTTGACAAGCACTTAATATAACTGATGTCTGAGTGCAGCCGTCAGCCGTCTTTTTTGAGATCGCTAAATACATGTAAAATATTTCTTGCCCCTTGAAACTGTTACCTTATATTTACAAAAGTCAAACTGTTTTCTCCATAATGTGAATTGAACTTTGTTCTAGGTAGTTTCTAGAACTACAAACCAGGCAGTCGCGTAAATCTTTTACTTCAGGGAAAAATAATCATATTATTATAAAATATACGTGGTAAATTAATTAGGAATTTCGATTTTAATGCTTTGATACTCAATCAATTTGACTGCAAATGTCATTATCAATTTCATTTTTAATCAACAGTTACGTGCTTGTTTTGCATATCTATTAATAATTATAATGTCTAAAAGATGTGGATTACACACCTCTGTAAAGACACTCCAATGCAAAATCAGACATGAAGTTAACCAAAATCACAAAGAATCATACATGTTTTTAGAAATCCTAATCTTGTTTTATTTTTTATTGTGTGTCCACTAAAACTAATTATAAATTAACTTTAATTTGATAGAACCGTTATTACGGCAGTCCTCATTTAAGTGTGAGGGGTAGTTTCTTACTTGCTTACCTTCAATAATAGATTAGTGTCAATCCTGTGTTTTACTTGAGATATCATCAACTATTTCCATTTTACTTTCAACTGCACTGTTTGAAAAATTTATAGATTCCTCAGATAGTTTATCTTGATTTTCAGCTAACTCTACTCCTCAATATCATTTATTTTCAAGAAGTTGGGAGTTTCATTATTGTCTTTTCTCTCAGTGTTATCTGAAAGTTTATGAATATCGACGTTTTCTTTTGAGAGTTCAGCTGCATTCACATTGTTAATGTTCAGTAACATATCTGAAGACTCAATGAAAGGTATATCATTCTGCTTTTCTGTCGAATTGTTTTCCATTGCGTTCTGCAACTCATTTTTATCTAATTCGACAGAAACTTCACCAGTTGACACCAAAGTCACACTTTCAATTGACCTTACATCTTCTTCTTTTTCTAATGCTTTAGGAGATACCAAAGTCACACTATCAATTGATTTAGCATCATCTTCCTTTTGTAACTGATTTGTTGATACCATTGTCACACTTTCGGTGGATTTGGCATCATCTTCTTTTTCTGATGCATTTGTTGCTACCAAAGTAACACTTTCAATTGACCTTACATCTTCTTCTTTTTCTAATACTTTAGGAGATACCAAAGTCACACTATCAATTGATTTAGCATCATCTTCCATTTCTAACTGATTTGTTGATACCATTGTCACACTTTCAGTGGATTTTGCATCATCTTCTTTTTCTGATGCTTTTGTTGCTGCCAAAGTAACACTTTCAATTGAACTTGCATCTTCTTGACTTTCTAACGCATTCGTGGAGACTAAAGTCATACTTTCAATTGAATTTGCATCTTCGTGTTTTGTTAATGTATTAGTTCCACTACTACCTTTGACTTCTTCTACAACTGTGTCACCTATTGAAATAGTATCATCCTTTAGGTTGACGCATTCTTGTTCATTAACGGTCTTGACTGCATCATTATTAACTTCGGCTTCATCGTCAGTTGATGCCAATAAAATATCTTCAATCGATTCATTATATTCGTCGTTATTTGTTGTAACGACTTTCTTTTCATTGGCAGATGTGGAACGCTCCATTTCTTCATCAGTGAAAGGTAAGCTTTCCTTATTTTTTTCTAATATATTTTCCTGGTTATCATCATTATCGTCTACTGGATCCTTATCTTCTGATTCTGAATAACTGGAATTTTCAATGCTTATTACACCACCGACTTGCTTTTTACTGTCCTCACTAGATTCAAGCGTGTCAGATATAGCAATAGGTGTATCACAACCTGATATATCTGAAGTTGAATAATTTATTTCATTTCCTGAATGTAATTTTTGTAGTAAATGCAGTTCATCTATATCAGACTCTACTTTATTACTGTCATCACTAAGAGAATGAATTTTCTCATTATCATCATTCTTTGGTTTATCACAAACTCTGTTAGAATTTACAACTTTATCGATTGTATCGGAATTGTTATTAGGATTTATGTCGTCTAGTTTGTTATTTTCAATAACTTGAGCCTTTGGATTTAATTGGTTTTCTTTATTTGCTTCACTCTTATCTTCCTGTACACTTGTTTGATCATTTTCTTTATTTGCTGCAAGACTAGATTCTTCAGTTATGTTTTCAGCTGAAATTACCGTCGAATTCTTTTCATCTTCATTATCCTTTTCAACGTTATGTTTTTCAGTCCGTTCGTTAGATGACTCGTTGGTAGGGCCTGAAATTACTTCTGGGGTCTTTTTGGATTTTTCTTGTATCAGTCTTTTAAGTCTTTCTTTTCTTTTTTCCTTGTTTTGTAAAGAAGACTCGTCGATATTGTCGTCATCGTCGCTTTCTACTGGCGATTCTTCGGCTTCCTTGTCACCTATTTCTTCTGCTTCTAGTTTAAGTTGACTCTGCCTATCAGCATATCTATAAGTAAGAAAATAAATAAATAAACATCTAGCAGTGAAATGCTTAAAAATAAATAAAAACATAAATAAATAAGTCTCAATAACATTCTTGTCATTTTTATCTTATTTTTTTTTTTATATTTCCTACACACCAATTAGCCTAGCCCCAAAGTAAGTACTGTAAGGCTGGTGTTATGGGATACTAGGGTAACAGATAGAATGTATATATAATACATATATAGGTATATTTATATAGAAATACATATTTAACATCCATGACTGGAGTACAAATGCTCGTATTCATCACACAAACATCTGCCCCAACCGGGAATCGAACCAGGGACCTCTCGAATCGGCGAAACCATGAAACCCGGCGTACTAACTACTCGGCCACGAAGGTCGTCAAATGTTGTGTTAAAACAGTTATTGTATATAAATATAATTTTAAAAAGTCGGCTTGACCTGGTAAATGCCAACTAAATACAAGTAAAGTATTTTATTTTTGCAGCAAGTAATACTGTTTTGTACTTTATACAATTTTCATTTGACAAAATTTGAAAAACTATGTATTTCTGAACCGATGTATTAAGCAAACACTGCCTGTAAAATAAATTTAGCAACATTTAACTGGCAACTTGCCAAGCAAGAAAGTTCTCCCTTAATTAATAACCATGAGCAATGCGGCGTTATAGAAAATAGAACTATAGGTAATGTATATACTGAAGCAATCATATCTGTGAGCCATAACTGCCAATCGAACCTCAGCCAACACATGGGTCGAGCCTAGCTCCCTTAATACAAGTTGTCTTGTCAACTTAGTAAGGTAGCTAGCTAGTGTTCCAACAACTTGAGCTCCTTTTCGTGATAATTTGATAGCAACCAAATGTACCTCACAATTGTAAAAATATTTATGATGCAAATAAATTATAATTATTATTATATCAATGACTGTTTTATGGTGTCACACACTTACTTGTTTAGAATCTCGGTTTCCCTCTTTGCTGCCACCTTTTTGTTTTCCGTCAATTTCATTTTTAGATCTTCACTTTTCTCTGCGGGATCTGCGTCTACTGTTATCCTAGAAGCTGCCATTCTCCATTCATTCTCTTGCCGTCGTCTTTGCAATTTCTTTCCGCATCTCGTAAACAAATCGCGCGCTGAAGAAACATCAAAACATAAGATCCATTTTTTAGAAAAAAATAAGTTAATATTTCAGTTTTTTTTTTTAATACCTTCTTCCATAACATCCGCTTCGTTCCATCCTAACTTATCCTCCTCATTGGCTTCCCTGACGCATCGTAACACATCATGAAAGTCGGGGAAAGGCAGTGGGGTTCCAATAGGAACCTTTTTATTTATCCACTTCTCAAGCTTCTTTGCGGGGCCCTGCGGTTGCCCTGGGCGAGCGTCGATTTGAACACGGGGCTCCGATGGCATTTTTGTGTTAGTGAGCTGACAGAATTTCGCATGGACTCGTACCATTCTTTCTTTGTATCTAAAATTTAATGTAATCAAAGTTTTCCATAAATGTAGTTAAACAATTAAATATAAATAGCTGCACGGGTAAAAGTCTATTCAATTTAAGGCTTTCGTTGTCTGTTGTCTAATGCTGTAATGACAGTCGTAAACCAATCAACTATTCAGAACTTTGAAGCTTCTGCCCCCTAGCATGACATGTCCTCCTAGCATGAGCACCGCGATATGATAAAAAACTCGTTTATATCACGCTCAATTGTCAAATTACTATGAAGTTTGACGATTACTATGGAATTACACGCAATAAAAAACGCGATATATTACAAATTGTGGTGCTCATGCTACGAGGACAGGGATCTGGATAAAATGTTTTTTGCACTTCATAAATACTTCTAAAAGACAATCAAAGCTCTATTTATTACTGTCATCTTTAAAAATCTAATTCATATACCACACCAAAGAAACATTAACTTTACAAAGCGTAAGGTTTGCAGTAACATTTTAAAATGTTTCTTTTTATAAAATATGCGATTTTATATACAGTTATTAAGTAAAATTTATTTATTTAAAAACAAAATACATTTCAATGATAAAAATACAAAAACAACAATTAGAGCATTCCAGAAGAGTGATGCAGATAGAGCTTAGAAGCTCAAATCAATCTAAGAAATAGGTACTTGGGTTTATGCTACAGCTGTATATATTTTACTTGCAGAGAGCAATTTATTAAGATATTGAAAAAGCTCAATGAGGCTTAAAGTTCACTTCAATCATACTAAGAAAAAAAATTTTATCGGCTCTGTTAACGGAGCTACTGTAAGTATTGAATAACTTTCAAGAATTTAATATGAAACTATAGGTCCAAAATTATATCAAGTCCAGACCACACAGTCATTCATTATGAATAGTCAAAGACATGCTTTTTATAAAGTTCAACAAACACCCACTAATCTTATAAAATCATTTAAAGAAATATTTATTTTGTCATCCTTGATCTGAGCATATAATTGCGAAAACAAACCTAACATTCAATGAAGTTTATGAAAACCGCGCAAAGTAAAAAACAGGATTTTGCATCACTGAACTATTTTTTTGTTTATGATACAAACTAAAAAAAAACAGTTTATACAGATCAATGACAATATGAACTTAGAATAAAGAGGATAATGCTTTCACAATAAACAGAATAATGACAAGGATGATGGGCGAATGAGAAAATATGAGAGACAGACATTTGCAAACAAGAACAATATAACAGACACAAACTAAAATACTGCCTACATCCAAGGAAGTAATATTGTTAAAAAAGCAATGGTTAATAGTGGTTGAATGCCTCACCAACGCACCTTAGCAAAAGAGTTTTAGGATCTTTCACTAGCTGTTTATCACTATCCTTATTGGAAGTACAGCCTTCGTCACTGCACACAAAAACACCAATTACAAACATGGAATGTTTGATTACATAATTATGAACAACATTAAAACAATTGGGTTTTTAAAAAGATTAATTTTGTAATGAGTATCGAACAATATCAGAATGAAATAAAAATAATAAAATAATATAAACTACAACACAGAACAACAGCATAACCTATCTTTTAAGGAGTTCAGTAACTTTATTTCTCCACCATTAGAATACTTTTTATTAGTAATGTTTTTAGAAGACCTATGATATTAGTATTTATGTATTACTCCACCTGGCCTGATGTTACAAGTGGACAAATTGTGGAATTGTAAACTAAAGCAACACTTACAAACTGCGCTAGCTACCCTCAACTATATTTGAGTTTAAAGCACTGGCGACAGAAATGGAATTTTAAGAAATGTATTTTGTTAATATACACTTTTATCTATTTTTGAATCTTCGTAAATAACAACTAAAAACAATGCAGCAACAAACTTTGAAATTGTAAAATAATAAAACAACTAAGTACAAAAATAAAACAGCAATATTAAACAAAATCATACAGTTAGTTAGTATAGCCAAACCAAACACAAACTCTTGTCTGTTATGTACAGTCAAAAACAGAACGGCATTTACAAATTTAGATAATGCATATTGGTGTCGATTCTAGCATGATTCTCTAAATCTAAACTTAAATTTGACAGCAGTATATCCTTGTCATTCTCTATACAGAATGAAAAGGAGAGACTGATGTCAAATTTAGTTTTAAGTTTAGAGAATCACGCCAGAATTGGCACCATTAGTGTGGCAATTTCAATAAGAATAGAAATATATCCATTGTATCTTTGACTGTACTATACAAAGAAAAGTCTTTTTCAGGGTTCTATACCCAGTCTTGTAAAATCATATACAATGGTCTTTAGTCATAGAAGCACTAGAATGTTTTTTGATTTTATTATAGTTACCTTTCAGTAAGCAAGTAAACAGAGTCTTCGTCATCATCAAAATCAACTTCCTGCTCCTCCAATTTTTGTATAGCTCTATGAAGCTTCTTAAGAGTTTTTTCTAGTTTGCGTATTTGTCTTTGCCTTTTTGAATCATATTCACTATCCTCACCAAATACAAATTTATCAGAATCTGAAACATTATCACATAGTATCAACACTAATTCTGATTTAGCTCTGCAGTAACTGTATCAATATGGTTTTTAAGTAAGATTTTATTTTTCCTGCCTTAAATATTGATGGAACTAGTGTCGATGATGAATGAGTAACAACTTTTCAATAATTGTACTTTCCCATAGAGATAATGAAATGAAATATAGTTATTGGATCAAAAACAGTGAACACAATAAATGTGCATGATAATAATTGCTTTAGTTATAAAATTGTGTAGTTATAAATACAAGATTATTATTAGAAACTACTTAGGATGATAGAGTAGGGGACTGTTTATGACAACACTTTAGCCAACCAATGTTTTCTTTTCATGTTAGTTTTATATTTAATTATTTATAGTTTATTATATTTTTATTTTAAGCATTTAACTTCTAGATATTTAAATTTAAAGAAAATATTACTAGAAAAAAATCCATGTGGCCATTATTTCTTATGATTATTATTTGTGTTGTTGTATATATTATACAAAATAGAAGTATTTACCTGAATTTTTGGCTGCAATGTCACTCAAAACTTGAGATTTTGCCATTTTCCTTTGCAAATTCAATTCATCAACAATATCTTTGATGTATAAATACATTTTTTCAGGACCAGCCTTCATTGCTACAATTTTACTTGACACCATGTCGATAAATTCTTCTGACTCGGTATAGTTTTTAGGGACCTGCCTGTAGTATGTTTTAATTTTTTTCTCAACTATCTTTTTCATATCATCTGAATTTTCTAATTGGAAGCACAATTTAATGAAATTCTGATAAACAGGATGGAATTCACTTAACTCATCATCCTCTCGAAGCTCTAGTACAGGTATTACTGTTGAAAAATTTGATCTTTTGTGGTCCTTTTTTGGTGTACTTGTACCTTGACCTTGTACTTTTAGTGGAGACTCTTCTATCTCAATAATGGTGTCTATTATTTCATTTTTCTTGATATCACTTTCAGCATTCATTACATTCTGCATACAAGGTGAAATTTCAATTTCAATTGTTTTGCTTACAGATTCATCTTCCTGTGGATATTCCAATTTCTTCTTACTATGTTTATCTTTGGTGATGGGATTGTCTTCTGTGTCACTACCATGATCTGCATTTTTATTTGTTACTGTCTTAATTGGACTATCATCAATTGTGACAGCTAATTCTGCACCTATTTCGCAAGTTTTCTTGTTTGGCGGTTTAACAGGACTATCCTCAATAGTGATCTCGACATATAATGGTTTCTCTGGTTCTTTATTATTTATTTCTTCTGCAGAAACAGTGCTTTGTTCCTCTGGTTTTAAATACCACTGTGGACTAGCAGTGGATGAAGAAGACTCATCATCATCCAGGTCAACAGTTAAAACTTCATTGACAACTGGCTTAACAACTTCGTTAATTTTATGTTTTTTACGTAGAGTATTAATATTTACATTTGTGCCTGCTCTTTTCATGGAACCCGAAGTCCTTGTTACTGTAATACTAGGTGGTAAATTGTTGATCGTTTTTGGACTGTTGATCTTGATAGGAGTTTTTAATGATCTACTCCCAGAAGCAACTTTATTAATTACAACTTGTGAATTAATTTTTTTTATAATGTGAAGAGGATTAACAGAAGGCTTATTTTGAATTAGAGACTTATTTAATTGTCTATTCTGAATTAAAGCATGTGATACAGGCCTTATAGGTATCATAGGATTAACTGAGGGTTTGACCTGCACAAGTTGCTTAGTTGGTTGTATGAAGGATGATGTTGGTCTCTTCAATGTTTTTCCATTTAATTTGTTTGCTGCATATGGATTTGACACTATATTCTTGCTGTTGATTTTAGTGACAGTGATATTTTTGCCAGATAAGACTTTAGGAGTTGCCACTGGATTGGGTCTTGTTGGTTTGATAGTTACACCGTGTATTTTATTGGGAATATGAACCATTGCATTAGGCATGGGCTTTATCTAAAAGAAATGTAAATAGTATTAATAATCTCATGCTATGACTTTAAAAACACAATAATGAATTCAAACAATTTAAAAGACTGTACATTACCTTTTTCGTAGCTGGCTCTGCTTCATCATCAGAAGAGCCTAATTCTATCACGTCTTCACTTGCCATTTTGATTGATTAAATCTATTCAGGTAGAGAAACTTATGTTGTATTTAAACTCATTCTATTCGACATACTAAATGTTCAAAAACAGTTTGCGATTGCGGTTTCACGAAATGCGATACTGATATTATCGCTAAATTAACTCAAATTAGTAAATAAAGAGACCGCGGGTGAAGAACATGAACATTAGTGTATATTTTTTTGACGTTTTTAATCACAGATTACCGGGATGAAAAGATGACGCGAAAAGCAGGTCTTTCACGTTACATGGCCACGTTCCAAACCTACGCTCCAGGTGCAACAATTAGCAAAAGAGAAGGTTTTGACATAAGTTCCATACATTTTATGTCAAAATTGAAACGTCAGTTGAACACAGTGTTAAGTTCCTTGCTCAGTGTAGGTTTGGAGCGCAACGCTGTGTGAAGGGGTGTTTTTTTTTTAAAAAGGTTATTCCAAGGCGTTTCATTGACATAGAATAGAAGTGAAGGAAGGCTAAAAAGCGGAAGATCTTCCTACGAGCTGGGTGATATGTTAGCTCGGGAGCCGCGGCCCCACTGCTTTTTTTTTTTGAGTGTGTAATGCTGTTGGTCGCAGATGACCTTTACAGCGTCACTGGGTTTGGGGACGACGAGATCCTAAGGGGAACCTCAAGCCGAGAATTGGCGAGTGCCCCTAGAGGTATTCCAGGCGGATGGCGTCTCCTCTCCGTCTGGAGACTATAGACCACTCGAACCTGAAGGGGTCGGCTCAACTAGAGGCCATGCGTCCACATCACTCCCCTCCGAGACCGGAGTCGATAGTCAGTGTTTTCAGCAGTGAGAGATTGCAAGTAGGGTTGCAACGATATATCGGAATATCGATAATATCGAGACCAAAATATCGATATTTAAAATTCACTGATATCGATAATATCGATATCGGAAATTCCAAAGTATCGATATTTCGTAGACTAAATTTGAACACAATAATACCAATTCATTTACCTGCTATGACTATCTAAATTGAATAATATCGAAATAACTATTGCTTTGAAATCGCAAGAGCTTATAGATGTATTAAAAAAATCTTGAACCCCAAGAAATATACTAAACTGGTGTGGATTCTGGCATGATTCTCTAAACCTAAAATAAATTTGACAATAGTGTATCCTTGTCATTCTTTATACAGAATGAAAAGGAGAGACAGATGTTAAATTTAGTTTTAAGTTTAGATAATCATGCCAGAATCGACACCAACGTATATAGGTATAATCGTATACCTAATGGTAACTCATGGACTTAAATAAAATCCTTGCCTCTCTTTCTAGATAATTGTCAACTACTGATTAATTGAAATTTAATATCATTGTAATATAACACAAAATAAAATCACCAATGTAGGAAGGCCGCGGCCCGACTGATGTTTTTTGGGCAACGTATATATCGAATGTTAGCCTCCGAATTTCTTTTGCGCGATGTAGGCTTCTATACGTTATAAGCGCAGCGCCGGCAACGCCATCTCTTGAGGCGATTATTTCCTCCATGTTAGTTATATGTGGGGCATATAGATGTCGCGGCCACAGAAGTATCGTGTGTTTATGGTCTGTGCCAATTAATACTAAATGTGGCCAATGTTACGGCTACCGTGTTCTACGGCTTTTTAATTCAAAAACTAGAAAATCTACGGCCTACGACGACACGTTAGAAGACCCAAGCCCGAACCGTATTGTAAAGACACGAGAAAAAGGTATTTCTGAACAAGAGGAATGGTTTTCTTTTTTTTTAGTTTTATTCTTCCCTATTGTTAAAGGCGAAGGCAAAGCCATGCAGCCATCGTCTTATTTTGTATTAATCTCCTTTTTTGCATAAGAATTTAGGTATGACGCATTCCAATGTTTTTTGTAATGTTTGGCACAAATTGTAACGAGTCAGCTTTCTCGATAAGCTTCTGTGAGGTAGTCAATACTACAATACATTTCTCACGTCCACTTGACCGGAATAGCGTATATTTGAATCCACTAATTCTTCAGTTACGCTGACGATTGTAACACAAAATCACACCAATTTTATTTCACAATAGTGTCGATACTGGCATTATTCTTTGTACTTGAAACTAAATTTATCAGTCTCCTTTTCATTCTGAATAAAGTATGACAAGCATCACAGACATATATATGTCTGTGGACAAGCATGCACTTTTGTCAATTTGAAGTATAGTTCAAGGAACTTATATACTAACTGGAATAATAACGAAACAATATGGGAATGCAAAAAATGTACTCTAAGTTATACATAAAGTCCATTTTTGTTTCTACCTTCATAAGGGGGGAAAATACTCCTAGCGTGACAACGACGAAAGTGCAATCTCTTCCTCTCTCTTGCTACTGTTTGGGCACACTACTAGAACGAGACAGATTCCACCAATTCAGCTATGCTCTTGGAACGATTTTGAGGGTCCAGTTAGTATATAAGTTCGTTGGTATAGGAGAGAATGAGGCTGTTTATGAAAAATTACGTCAACAGTTGGCGTCACTGTGACGTGAAGTCTTATGAAGTTTTTGGCGCAAACTAATCGAACGGGCATTTAAATTGATTCATTGACTATGAGAACAAATGCGATTTGACGGATGGGTAGACCTTTCGTCTCAGTACTGCCAGCAGCAGCAGCAAAACCCTGCGCGCCATAAACGCCTTTTTTATTAGCAAATGTCATAGCCAGTATACAAGTTCAGAAAGCCGAATACATAGTGCACATACAATTTTAAATGAAATACAAATGTGAAATGAGTGAAACACTTTACTGACAACTATACTTTTGATTCGCTCGATTGCCATTCCAAAAATATACACAAACAATGACCAATATCTTTAAGAATGTGTCGAAAATTGGAACTAACGCCGCCGTCTTTGTAAACGTCATTATATGTCATATGACATTGGACAATGGTGTAGATTCTGGCGCAATTCTCTAAACCTAAATTTAAATTTAACGACAGTCTATCTCTGTTATTCTCTATACAATGAAAAGGAGAAAGTTGTCTTTTACAGTTTGTCTATAAGGTAGTGACATTAAATGATGGCGCCACTAGTATGCATGTAGCAACCCTGTACAGTCTGACCAAAATGATTTTGATACTAGCAGTTCATTCAAGTAAAATAGGTAATTAATAAGACACACTAAACAGTCGTATTTTGTTTCTGTTTTATATATAGTAGCTTATAAAAAGTTATTATTATTATAGATAAAATAGTACTTTATAGTGTAAAAGTGTGTACTGTTGGTGATTACCGCTGAGGTGCCATTGAGACCAGAGCCGTTAGGTAATCATCAATACACACAAGATTCATCATACGACGTTTTTTAACACACTTGTTAAGAAAATAATATTAAAAATCATTTTATAGTATATAAAAAGTTTATTTAAAGAAACAATTTGTAAATGTGCAGTTAGTAAAATTAGTGATAGGTATCTTCACTAAAAGCATCTGGCCATGGTTCTTTATGTGACCATTTCTTTCTTTGGTCGGCCTTGCCTGTTTTCCCAGGAGTTTCAAACTTTCCATCATTCTTAAAACCTTCGTTGACTATACGACTCTCTGATTTTCCTGAAAAAAAAAAAGTAAAAAAAATATGTAACGAAATAGAAACAATAACTTATTGACATGAAGCAATTAATTCACAATTGGTAGAAAACCTGACCGAGTTGAACCATAATAACGTATCAAAAGAAATGGTCGTACTACAATATTACCTATTTACAATTTCAATCTAACATAAAATTGTGCAATGTAAACAATGCTTTTTTTGGTCTGAAAATCGTAAATTGAGTAATTTTGTAAATTCAGGCAGATTACAAACAAATATTTACACGATTACATACCCGTTATAGATGCTGTTCGCCTATAAACATCATCTAAATCCCACAAAATTCGTCCAACTTGGTAATCTTCGAAACATCGCTGGAAAACTTTAAAAATCACTTCCCGCGTGCCACTCCGATTCACTTTACTCATTTTTATACCTTTCTGCGTAGTTTCGTCTTAATTTATTACAGTTTAATCCAAACAATAAAAAATACAAAAGGAAAACTGTTCCACAAATGGACGTAGTTACGCGAAAACGTTCCAACCCACAGTGACCCCATTTTGAGATAAACGCAATTTTGTGTTTTAGCGGTACACTTTTTCCCTGTAATTATTTCAGGCAAATACTATTGGTGTTACTGTGGAATGCCAAATTGGTTATTGAATGATATGCATATTTTTTGTAAATACATAATACAAGGGGCATATAAATAGGTAAAACGAGTTTGAAACGTTTTCGCTAAATTTAATTTTGTATGAACCTTGTTAAATAGCAATTATGCATAAACGTTCCAGAACGAATTTAAGTGTATTATTTTATAAATATATCTAAAATAAATATGTAAAATAATAAATAACAATGAGGAACATACAAAAACAACAAAAATTTGAAAATGTATTACAAAAAAAATAGAACGTGATCTTTTGAGCTTTGAACCTATGCCAATTTGCTGATATGGTTCCAAAAGTTATCAAAAACTTATATTATAAACATTCAATTTTCATCATCGTATTCTATGATCTCGAAGTCCGGAACTCCACCAAACCCATCAACATCATCAGTGCTTCTTCAGAACAGAAGGCAATCCACTTCCTGTGCACCTCTTCCTACCTCTCCTTCTACCAATACATAACAATGCCCAGTATCATTAGATGCACTATGGATACCACTATTGTAGAACTAAGTAAAAAGTTAAACCTCTTCAAGTTTACAAAATGACAAAGACTGATTTTATAGTACAACTAAACTGGAAAAGAAGATTATCAATAGGAAGAAGTTTACAGACTCATCTAAAGTGAGTTGGCTACATACAAAAGAAATTAAGTTGGATAAAGATATAATTTTTTCTATTTTTATGCGGTCTACGATGGAAGACGATTTCAATGAGTTGAAAATTGATAAAAGAATAAAACGAGAACTACAATACATAAAAGAATCTGATTTTTGCTTATTGTGGCCTAACGACAAACCGATTGCTCCAGCGAAATTAGTGGACTTACAATCCATGTACCACTACATACCCGAGGATTGCCTTCAATTTTATAGAACGCTTCAAAGTTCTGAAGAAGCACTGATGATGTTGATGGGTTTGGTGGAGTTCCGGACTTCGAGATCATAGAATACGATGATGAAAATTGAATGTTTATAATATAAGTTTTTGATAACTTTTGGAACCATATCAGCAAATTTTTGGCATAGGTTCTAAACTCAAAAGATCACGTTCTATTTTTTGTAATACATTTTCAAATATTTTTTTTGTTGTTTTTGTATGTTCCTCATTGTTATTTATTATTTTACATATTTCTTTTTGGTTTATTTTTATAAAATAATACACTTAAATTCGTTTTGGAAAGTTTATGCATAATTGCTATTTAACAAGGTTCATACAAAATTAATTTAGCAAAAACATTTCAAACTCGTTTTACCTATTTATATGCCCCTTGTATTATGTATTTACAAAAAATATGCATATCATTCAATAATCAGTTTGGCATTCCATAGTTAAACCAATAGTATTTGCCTGAAATAATTACAGGGAAAAAGTGTGTAAATTGCGTTTATCTCAAATTGGGGTTGCTGTGGGTTGGATCATTTTCTCGTTACTACGTCCAAATATACCATAGTTATTTATTTTGGTAAAAAATATCTTTTTCTCTAGAACATACTTAATAGCAAAAATGGATCAAGTATATGTGGATTGTTTATAGCAAAAAATTAGAAAATAATATATTATAATAAAAGGTTTCAATTTATTTAGAACAGTGTTCGCAGCTTAAAAAAACAGTATGGATTAATCTAAAAGGTTTCAAATTACATGGAACATTTTTGCAGAAATAAAAAATGTATAAAGATTTTGCAAAAACGTTCCAACCCACATGGATCATTTAAGAAACCATTAAATGTGCGTTTTATGAATTTAGTATAATGTTCCAAGACAAGTGGAACATTATAACGATATGTTATTCTATTAAGAGTTTTTAACAATATGTTTCAGTATGCATGTAATGTTTTTACTTTATTTTGAGTACACGTCCTTGGCATAATGGTGGGTTGGAACATTTGGGTTAAACTTTATTGATGAAACTAACCTAAAAATACTAGCATCTTTGTGTGCACATGATGTAATATGTCAAAAATAGTACCCTGGTTATGGTAACTCATTTTCGAGTGACTTGTGGGTTGGAACGTTTTCGCGTAACTACGTCCAAATGAAACTCGATGACAGCTGATGTACATAAGTTTGGTGTTGCCAGACACATGAATAATGTTAGTTCCTCAAACATTCATGTCACGACTTTATAGACAAACATTTAGTTTAAAGTTTAGAGAATCATGCCAGAATCGACACCAGAGACGCCCTCCGTGAACTGTCACTCACATAATAGATCACAGACCATTAAGAAAACAAGTTCATATAGATCTTCTTCTTCTTCTTCTTTTATTATGGCATGACGGCTAATGTTGCTATTTGCCATATGCGAGCTTTATTTGATGTGATTGGGTAGTAAATCGATTAAACTTTATCGACTTAAGGGGCAGAGTATGGATAGTTGGTGGTTGGATAATGGTGCCAATTCTGGCGTGATTCTCTAAACTTAAAACTAAATTTAACATCAGTCTCTCCTTTTCATTCTGTATAGAGAATGACAAGGATATACTGCTGTCAAATTTAAGTTTAGGTTTAGAGAATCATGCTAGAATCGACACCACTGTGGTGATAACAGACGGTAAAAAGTAGGAAACGATATTAACAAGATAAAAGGGAGATTTGCGATGAAAGTTCATATAGATCTTGGTCGCATATATTCTTGATCGCACTGTAAATTAAATGTCAGTAGCTGTCTATGTCTAATAACAACCAATGAAAGATAAACCTTTTACACACTAAACTCAGATCTCTCCATTTTATTGGATTAAAAGCTGTCATTAAAACATTAGGCAGTTCGAGTTTTTGCAGCTGCAATTTTTATCCGTACAATATTTAGCTGTCAAAATAAATCGTGCTCTCAGTTTTCATAATTCTATTTATTGATTTAAATTTAGGAAAATGATCAAACTTTTTTCATTAAAACAACAAAAAAAAGATGAAGAAGGTACAGCAAGAGCTGGAGGCTCACAAAAGAAAGCATCAGCAGCACAATTACGAATCACAAAAGGTAAAAAATAATCGAAACGTATCTTGATACTCTTAAATACCTTTCATCTTCAAGCTTAAATGATTATTAATACTTACTAAAATATTCCTTTTAAATTTATGATTGTTAGCAAAACAATAACTTTTTGCTGTTTTGAATCTATTGTTTGTGAATACTATATAAATAAAATAGTTTAATCACTTCACTATGTACATTTAAAGATAATAATACTTAGCATTGTAAAAAGAAAAGTGTTTTATAAAAATGAACTCATGATATTAAAGATTCTAAATCTATGTTTTTAACCATTGTTGATTGTTTATTTATGTACATAAAATAAAATAACTTAATTTTATTACAGATTTAAATGAATTGAATTTGCCAAAAACCTGCAGCACAGAATTTCCAGATCCAGATGACTTGCTTAATTTCAAACTTATAATATGCCCAGATGAAGGCTTCTATAGAGGCGGTAGATTTGTATTTAGTTTTAAGGTGAGTGAGTGCTAAGAATATTTTGCAACTTTGGTTGAAGACTGTGATTGTATATTAAGTTATTTATGGGATTGTTACCATGTACCTTGTTTTAACAAGTTATTTACTTAGTTAGTTTGTTACTCCATGATCATGGTGCTTGCAACAGTGCTAAAATATTAGAAACTTGCTCAAAACAAGGTATAAGAACTTATATTACTATAATGTTAGTGACCATGAAAGTTTAAAACAATATATGTGATTGTAAATGATAAAACTTGTGCCTGACTTTAGTGTAACCCACTTGTTATGGATATACCTTTTTTCACAGAATCTTTGTGATTTTTTATACACATACTAATGAAAGCATAATTAAATAACAAAAAATAGTTTAAAATATTCTAACTGTTATGGAAAAGCGGGAAAATGGTATTTGATATACTGATTGACTGACTTGATTTGAAGGCTAGTAATATGTTCTACTATTTATCGCATATTTATAGAACTTACTCGAGAAAATAATTCACACATTTTTGATAGTATTTGAAATGTGAGAATTTCATTCATTTAAATAATAAGAACGAACACATTTTTAAATATTTATTTTAAGGCCAAAATTTCATTAGGAAGCTGCACACTCTATATATCTCTATCGTAAACTAGACTAAATTTTTGTCACCACATTCTCTTTGCCATACAAATACACTAGTATTCCTTATTAGTATTTTTAGAAAGATGATAATTATAATAACAATATATATATTTCATTCTTTAAATTTAATTATACTGGACTAAGTTAACATTCTAAGTCAAATTCATAATACTTCTGTAATTCTTTTCATATATGATTAGGATCAAAACATATTTTGGGTTTATGCTTTTATTTTTTTTTTATGTTTATTAAATTTATAAAATCATGTTGTCTTATAAATAAAGAAAACTCTTTTACTGAAATGGTCGATCTAGAATCTTGTTGACTTTGTCATGCTTTTCCTGATATTGTTTCTTTAATTTCCAGGTAGGACCAAACTATCCCCATGAACCGCCCAAAGTGAAATGTGAAACAGCAGTCTACCACCCCAATATAGACTTGGATGGCAATGTCTGTCTTAATATACTCAGAGAAGATTGGAAACCAGTTTTAACTGTTAACTCCATAGTTTACGGACTACAGTATTTATTTTTGGTGAGAACATTATTTGTTATTATATGAAACACTAGCGACCGCCTGCGACTTCGTACGCGTGGAGTTAGTTAGAAATAAAGGTTGCTCCTTCCTCCATAGGTGATAGCGTGATAATATGTAGCCTATATGTTGATCCGACTTCTTAATAATATTTGTGCCAAATTTGAAGTTTATCCATGCAGTACTTTTTGAGTTTATCCCGTACGTACATACAGACAAACAGACAAAAATTCTAAAAACTATATATTTGGCTGTGGTATCGATTGCAGATTACACCCCTATTATTCTTTAAAAAAAATATTCAATGTACAATTTTGACTTTCCTACCATTTTATTATAAGTAAGTATAGATATTACAAGACAGTTGGAATAAAATAAGACATTTCTACAATCACTCTTTAAAAGCTTCATTGTATCAGGTGATAACTTTATTTTTGGGAGTGTAATCAGGTCGCTTTGGTGTAGAGCTGAAGTGTAGACTACAGTTTTTGTTCCCAGGCTTGTATTATACACAATGACATTCATCTATGATTCTTCTTATACCTGCATGCAAAGTCTCAGCCCAATCGGTTTAAAATTGACAAAGTTTCATACAAACTTTCATTCCCTATTTTATCCCCTTGGGGGTGGAATTGATGAAAATCCTTTCTTAGCGGATGCCTACGTCATAACATCTACCTGCATGCCAAATTTCATCCCGATCCGTCCAGTGGTTTGGGCTGTGCGTTGATAGATCACTATGTCAGTCAGTCACCTTTGAGTTTTATATATATAGATATGCGTTTTTAGTGACTTTTCTCTAGGTGGCATTACAGATATTCGGAATATCATCAGGGAAAACCATATGTACTTTGTATGATCGTGGTCATTGCTCTGTAACATAGTAGGTTCAACAAGGCAATTTAAAAAAAAAGTACGGTAAAGTACGGTAAAAAAGTAAGTAAGGTTTTTTCAGAAAATTGGCTATAAGTCACAAATTAAGAGGAAATTCTGTGAGCTTTTTGAATACAAAATAATAAATGTAATATTTCTTTTCATTGTATATAATTAATTACTTACTGAACATTAATTTATCAAAAATATGCTTGGGACAGTTTTGTATGGGCCAGTTTCCAATTAGTAGAGAAACATGTTTTACATATTTAATGAAAATTTCCACTGATATATTTTTGAAATGATTTGTATATTATGTAAAGGAATGAGTTGACCTTTTTCACTAATAAAGAAATATGTTGCTCCCACTTTAAGTCTAATGCAATAGTTACACCCAAATCCTTTTGTTTACAAATAGAGGCTATGCCCACTTCATCTAGATTGTATGTAAATATTGAAGTAGTTTTTCCAAAATATAAAACACTGCACTTAGAAATATTCAGTTTAATATCCAGTCATTGGTCCAGTTCTGTATGCGATCAAGACCTTCCTAGAGCTGACCTGCTTTTATTAAAGGGTTCGCAAAAAAAACCCATCGTTAGCAAAGAAAGCGGTTTGGCATATAATAAGCTCTATCTGATCAGTAAGGAATATCCCAAAAAGGTCTGGTGCTGCCACTGTTCTCTGGGGAACATCAATGGATACACTCTTCTTCTGAGATAAAGAGTTCCCAACTGTGACTTGATTTATGTTCTGCCAGTTAAGTAAGAAGTGCTTTTTGCAGTGACAGATATCATACCTTTTACTTAATAGGTCTTTGGATCAATTCTTGATTTGATTCGTGTAGGTATTTTTTTTTTCTGGAGACATGTTTGTTCAGTAATAATGGGAAACTTTGTAACATATTCTTTATTTAGCACTAGCAAATCTTGGGAAATTTATTAAACGCGATAAAATATAGCTTGAATAATATAAACTCAGGAATAATGTAGCTTTCTACTACTGAAAGTAGAGTAGTAATACCCCAAGCACGAACTTTGTCAAATCCGTAATCGTATTGCATGGTCAAAGTTTGTATGGGAACTAAGCAGCGCCCCTACCGGACGTAAAAACAAACTAGCTCCTTCATATAAATTTTTAAGATGGAAGATCCTCTCTACTATGGCACAGGTCTTAATATGGTCAGGCAACTTTAGTACCTATAGTATAGATCCACAAATTGTTTTATAAGTAATTAATGTACTGAATAAGTCATTTATATTTTATTTATTGAATTTTCTACAGGAACCGAACCCCGAGGACCCATTAAACAAGGAAGCCGCAGACGAGCTCCAAAGCAACAGGCGGCTATTCGAGCAACACGTGCAGAGAGCCATGCGCGGCGGCTACGTCGGCTCTTCGTACTTCGAACGGTGCCTCAAATGAAACTCACCACAATTATTGTACATTACGCCACGCTATATAAATAAAAAAATCTCATTTTATTTTTAAGAACGTTTGATTTGGGTTTTTAATTTACGGTTAACACAACTTTTTTTCCGTGATAGTAATGAATAAGTGGCATAATATTGGTTTTGAGATTTTTCTGCACTCCTTGGAGTGCTACTGCAATAACGCAAACTGGAAATAATCAGGGTTGCCACCTTTCTGGGTAAGGAAAGTAGAACAATTACATGGACCATACAATTTAGAAAACTATGTTATTTTCTATATTTTCTGGTATTATTTTTAGTTACTCAAGATAAATTTAAACATTTCAGTGTCTCTCTTGTAGATACTAACAAATTCCGAAAGATAATTATGTGTCTATAAAATTGTTTGATGAAGGTTTCGTGAGAAACAGCGATTGAACGTTCTTACCGAAAACAAAACCATATAGTTATGCTGTCGGGACCCGGGTGAATACCGTTAAAAATCGGGACGAGCTACTGTTACTATGCTACGTTATTATTAAAAGTGCAATTAAAGCTTAGTCATTAAATATACTTTGAGTTCAACATCGTGCTAGTGTCATTGTATCGATTGCTGTGGTGTTCACTGTACAATTTGAGATATTAGACTCGTTCGGCTAATTTTAAGAGATATTTTCTTATAAAGTTTTTGTTAGATCAAACTATATTCCCCTAAAATTGGCACACATACAGAGACACAGCGAGGTCTTCAACACTACATAATATAACATTAAATTTCACACATTATAGTAGTAAAGAGAAGATTATACTTCTCTTTTGGATTGGTTTGGTTAAGCTGATAGTGATACATCAAGACTTGTGCATAAATTAGTAAATAATGTTCTTGGTACGCGAGATATTTTCAAATTTGATCGCATTATATGATTCTTATTATCCATCGTTACTAACGTGTTAAATATAAGGGAACATACCCAAACTACGTGACCGATTTAGGGGGGGGAGGGGGGTCTTCAAAGTACCACTCATGGTCACCGGGGGGAGGGGGGGGGGTTTGGTTTCTTGTCACGTAGTCAATAATTTTTTTTAAGAACGCCACGTTTTTATTACCCCATCAATAAAACTTGTCCAGTATCGCGACATCACTATAAAATTTTCGAGAATCGCTGACGGCGGCCGACGCGCACGCCTGCCGACTGCCGGCCGCCATGTCAGTTTGACCCAAGCGATCGCAGAGTGTGGACGTCGCTTGTCGGCAGTTCGGTATTTTTTTAGGTACCTATAATGTCGTTGTATGATCGACTATTCAGTGCATTTACAAAATGTCACAAGGATTCCTTGTCGATGCAAGCAATCCAAAAAAAAACAAACGAATTTTGGGTGCCATTAAGGGATCAATACAAAAAAAATCCGAAGGAGTTGGAGCGTCTCGCACTATTAAAAATTGAAGAGCTTTGTCAAATTGCGACTAAGAAAAGCGCACGACGCCTCAATTTCTTTGTAAAGGTTAGTGTTCTGAATTTTTTGTTGCACGGATTCTTCATACTTTTGCAAACATTTTTTTCATGATTTCAAATGCGGAACTAGCTTGTATAGTTCCGGCCTATACTGACATAAAATATTTTTTTTTACATTCTCTTTTTCGGTATGACTGGTATGAGAATACAGTAGAATTCACTTATAACGACGTCGCTTATAGCGACTAACCGCTTATAGCTTATACGACGCGCAATGTTTTGTTTCAACTTTGACAAATGCCTCGGCCACATCACTTCCCCCGCGCGCTTCACCTTTCAACTCTCCCTATTGGCGCGCGTAAATCACAGTTTGTGTTTACTTTTACCATACGAAAATCAACCTTTCGCATTTATAAGGCGCGAAACACACAGAAAGGGCAAAAGGCGAAGGCGCAAGACAGGCGCAGCGCAGTTACGACGCCGCCGCTTCAATTCGTTTCATACAAAATGTACGTAGGCGACATTTTTGAATTATAGGTACACAAACGGCGCAGCGCAGCCATGACGATTTTATAACCTAAAAAACAAACTTAACCATACGTTATGCGTTTTGTGGTATAACTTTAATCGCATCCGTACCTTGCCTGTCCCGCGCCTTCACTGTATCTTCACCTGTATGCCGTTTCTGTGTGTTTCGCGCCTAAACATAGGTACTGCATATACCTATAACCTTTTTTATTTATCTAAATAGTAAAATCAATATGTTACATATGTACGTTCGTACGTACATGACTAGGTATGTATGTACTTAAGAAATACTCCTACCGTTTTGTGCGTCGTCCGGTGTACGACATAATATCGCCGGTCCCTTGAATGTCGTTATATATCCGGATTCTACTGTAGCATATATTATTTTCATTATTTTCATGTGCTTTAGTCTCGGTAAAATATTAGCAAACTAATCAATTTATTATTTCTGCTGGCGCATGTGTGAACTTGGTGATGTGTGTTTCTTTTTTGTATTTGGTTAAATGTAGCTACCTGCACGAAAAGCTTCAACCACGCAAGGTGATCTCAAATTGCTTCCCAAAATTGAAGATATTACCAGTGATGACAAGAGTGATGAGTCGATTTCTATTCCTCGGAAAGGTACACCACTAACTACTATTAACTCTATCTGTTCTACCGGTATATTTTTAACAAGCTTTCACTTAGTTTCACTTGTCCCGATATTTGTTTGTACTCAATTCTTGCTGAAATTAAATTTGATGCACTTCCTGGTGCCGGGTAAGCTGAATTTTTGCACGAATAGGTATATCGCGTGGCAATAATATGACGATGAAAGAGGCTATAGAAACTCCGTTATAAAATGACACAACCTCATCGTGTTTGAGCTCATTAGAACCCGCTCAACAGGCAGTTGGTGACTGTGTGAAAAGAAGGTACAGTCAGTAATAAAAGCTTGTACTAAAATGCATCTAATTTTTGTCAGAAACTTGTTTTAAAATTCTGTAGCTTAAATCGTCTTTACAATGTATATGGTGTAGTTAAATTAGGATTCTGTATTATACATATTGTACAACTTTTAACGAAGCCCTTTTTGACTTTTTAATTTTAAATGGGTAGTGATTCACATAGTTATTTTTATTTCTAGCCTGCGATAATGAATCGTGTGTTGGTCAAGCATCTACTTCAATACCTTCTACATCTATAAAAGGTCCGACACCAAAACAAGACGTTTTGAAATCTGAAATTTCAGTTCTTGAAGCTGAATTAAATGCCTCCGTAAAAAAGCGAGATGCAGGGCTGGGCACAGATAGAATTGAGATGAAGATTAAAAAATTAAGACACGATACTGAAATAAAGAAAAAAGAGTTACATAACAAAATAGTCCGTGCAAATAACATGCGAAAATTTAGAGCAAAACAAAAATCTGAAATTTTGAGTCTGAAATCCGCTCATTCCAACGTACAATCTTCATCTATCAGGACTGAGCCAGGACGCCCTCCACTTGAAGAAAATCAGGCAGGGCTTCTTCAAGTAATTTGCGATATAGCAACACATGGAAGCTCAGCTGCTGATCGACGCCGATCAGAAGTATTGAGAACTTGTAAGACTCTTGATGAATTGCATGCACTTCTTGTTGAAGATGGATTTGTTATCTCACGAACCTCCACATACCGTAGGCTGATTCCAAAGTATTCTGGATCTTTAGAAGGCAAGCGCCATGTCACAACTGTGCCTGTAAGACTGTGTCGAGCCCAAACAGATAGACACCGAGATCACGCCGATCAATATTTCTGCAAGGCTACTGCCAACAGTCTCGAAGAGCTTGCATCTATACTTGGGCCTGAACAGGTAGTTTTTATCTCTCAAGATGATAAAGCCAAAGTACCCATAGGAAAAACAGCTGCAAAAGTACAAGCTCCTGTTTTAATGCATCTGAATTATAAAGTGCGCCTCGACGACCACGATTTTGCTGTTGGACAACGCCATCAACTGACTCCTTCGGTATATGCTGGGATCATAATCAAAGAAAACTGCATGGGTAGAAAAGAAGCTGTTACATATTCTGGCCCAACGTATATCGCAATACGCAGCGGAAAACATAGTAGTTCAACAGCAGCAACTCACGCCAATGATCTTATAAAACTACTAACATTGGATGAATTCAAAAATCTGGCTTTGGGGAAAGATGGAAAAGTCAAGCCTGTAATGATAATTTCAGTGGATGGAGGACCGGACGAAAATCCACGCTACAAAAAGGTGATATCTCATTGTATATCGCACTTTCAAAAGTACGATTTGGATGGGCTATTTGTATTTACCAACGCACCGGGTCGATCGGCTTATAACCGAGTAGAGCGAAGGATGGCACCATTGAGCCGTGAACTAGCCACGGTAGTCCTTCCATATGAGCACTACGGTTCCCATCTCGATTCTCAAGGGCGAACCATCGATGAAGAACTAGAAGTGAAAAATTTTCAGCATGCAGGTATATATTTTAATAAAATGATACGTTGTCTTCTCCACTGCTGTTATTAAAGTTGAATTTAAATAATATTTAATTTCGTATTGTTTTCAGGTGAAACGTTGGCTGAGATTTGGTCCCAGGTGGTAATTGACAACCACAACGTGATAGCGGAGTATGTGCCCCCTGGGGAAGTGCTTTCCGAAACTGCACAAGTATCCGACAAGTGGTATGGAAATCACGTTCGGGAAAGCCAGTATTTCCTACAAATTACAAAGTGCGCCGATAGTTCCTGCTGCGCTCCTCGCCGCAGTGCTCTACGAAATGTTCTGCACCAAGGGTTCTTGCCGGCACCTTTTCCGATGTCGCAAAATCCGTTTAAAATACCAAGCCCAGATGAAGTCGGATCGGAGACATTTCCGTCATTGCTTGTGCGGCAGTGCATCTCATTGCGCCCTGATGTGACACGGGGCAAAGAAATGCCGTATGACACCTACTGCCCAACAATAAAGAAAAATATTAACGATAGGACATGCACCATCTGTGGCTTATATTTTGCGTCGAAAGTGTCAATGACCAGTCACCGCAAAAATATTCATGGCGGAGCAACGGACGCGTCTCGCGTCCGACCTCTGCGGGTTCTCTCCAGACGACCACAAGAGATATTGTGTGTTATGGAGGAAGATGTGGAGTGGGTAGACGTCGAGACCGTCGATGATGAGGCAGTTGATATCAACATGGATATTACCCCGGTATTAACCATCGCCCCCATTATCCATAACGTTTCCCAGTGGATTGATAGTGGTAACGTCTTCATTGAAGATATTTGATTTAATAAATAGTTTCTTGTTTTTGCTGTATTCTGATTTTATTTCTTTCCCCGCAAATGTGATGAAAATCATTATGAAGAGAAACGGGATGGCAGACTCGAGCCAATGAACTTAACAAAATTACATTTGTAAGTACTCGATCGTAATTCTTTTTTAACGGCCCGTACATATACATTGTGCAATGTACTATTTTTTCTTGATATATTTTTTACTAAACACAATTACAACCGTATGCAATTATAGGTACGCATTCTCAAAGTACGCACTTTTAGGGGCCGTATAAGAAAATACAAACAAAAGCCATTATTTTGTAACTTTACGCAAAAAATATTGATAAAATATACTACGTGAAAACTAGGTCTGGGCATATACTACGCTTGGTCACCGAGGGGGGGGAGGGGGTCAAAAAACACGAAAAAAAGGGTCACGTAGTTTGGGTATGTTCCCTTACGCAAAAAATATTGATAAAATATACTACGTGAAAACTAGGGGTCTGGGCATATACTACGCTTGGTCACCGAGGGGGGGGAGGGGGTCAAAAAACACGAAAAAAAGGGTCACGTAGTTTGGGTATGTTCCCTAAGTCGAATAACGTTTTTTACATAGATGATTGGTCTCCACTAATCATTCATCTAAGGTTTTGTAAATGAAGTCTTGCAAGCTTTCAAAAAATGTACCTAAGATTCAGTACCTATGTAATAAAAAGCAATCGACATTATTTTACTTCTTATCTTATTTTATTATGTCACTTGTATGTTGACTGTCTGTCTTCTTCGTAATTAATTTACACGGCTAGACTACATTTCCTAAACCATCGACGTTTATTAGTTATGATAAAAAAAAAAATTTAACTTTTAACCTTGAATCATGCATTTAAAACAATATAGCTAAAAGTGGTTTAGTTAGAATATGAGATAATTATATGAATAAGATATGTTTGTCGTTAAAATAACATTCGTTAGGATTATTGAGTAGGTAATTTAAATGTATTCATAATTTTATAAATTATTAAATGGTATAAATTTTTTGTTGGTATATTTTTCTTGTTAACAAAAGTCTAAGCTCTGTATGTTTTTATTTTGGTAACTGAGGCCATCATTACTTAAAAAAACAATTTCCCACCTATCTATTGGGTAATACCGAAGAACATTGCCCATATAGGCAGGGAAATACCTTTTCGCTGAAAGCAAATCTATACCGATAAGAGGGTCAGATGGCGCCTATATCGCTGCTTGTATCCTTCGCCTCAACAACAGTGGTGTCATCTCAATGCGGTTGCATGTGCCCATGCGGGCAAGTGAGCGGTACGAAGGTCAGTCGGGCCGTCGGCCGTCACGTCACGCAACGAGTCCGCCGCCCCCATCACTCGCACCGCTGTGAAGTGAGCCGCGAGCGGAGTCCCCGCCTGCCTGCGCGCCGCCACTCACAGTCAGTGCGACCGCAATCGTCGAACCAGCCGCGCATACGTTAAAGAACACGCTTTCTCCACACGACAGCGTGCTCAAGGCAGAGCTGTTTCGACACGCCATTCGGTTGCGAAAGTTTGCGCGATGATATACAAGTGAGAGCCGCCTCTGACGCCAGGGTAACGCTCATCGCGCACGGTGAGCCAGTTTATTGGACTAAAGACATTCGAAACTCTCCAACGAGGGACGGGGGGCGCACGACGCGGTCGGGTCGTACACGCGGGAGCAACCTATCCACATACTTAACTGTGAGAGCGACGGAAACCAATTTTTAATGTGTCAAGTCAGTATAGCTTATTGCTGCTACGTCAGATCGCAGAACGCCTCGAGCAGGAACTACAAGGTTATGCAAATGAGTTCTGAACGCTTCTATACCAGGAATAATCAAAAGACCATTCACAACTTTAATAAACTTTAACGTTTCGCCGTACGGTGTTTCTATATAAGTGCTTATCTTTCGTTTTACCTGTCCTTTATTATCTTTCGGTTTCGCGATCGCTAATTGCTAATTACTGTGGGAGTCTAGTGATAACGAGTTTTTGAGTCGGGCGAGTGTGTGTTTGACGTGCGGATAGCACCGCGACGACCAGCTGACGACGATGGCTGCCCAGGAGGAGACCCTCCTCGCGCGCTGCGAGATTCCCATCATCGACCTTGCACACATAGGTAAGCAAGCACCCATTGTTATCTTCACAATTATTATTATCAACACCCTTCGCAACAACAATGGGTAAATCTTGTTATCCTGCTGAGCAAGTTTCCCATTGTAGGTAACACAAATCATCTTTGGACTGTCGGACTACCTGAACTCAAAAAAATGGTTTTGAACGAAATCAGATCCTATGCTACACAAAAACACGAACAATAGTTTGAGAACACGGGGCCTTCTTTATCCTGAATTTGAGAATTCGTAAAAAAATTATATGTCCAATTGTTTAAGGACAGACCTGCGCATCCCCATCGCAGCTAGCCCGAGCCGACAGCTGTGCAGTGATGCTTTATTTGTTGTCTTCAAACAACTACATCCATCTCGCTCTCGGGAGTTCAAAGACCGCACACTGGATACGGACCGTTCGTCGCGGTTCATCCACCTAATTCCCCCTAAATAAATAGAAAATACAACAATATATATTCATCGAATCGATACGCACTCACTCCTTCCGACGCTGGTTATACGCAAGTGACTAAAGATAAATTCAAAACACAAACAAAGGCTTAATTCGCGGTAACGATGAGTAAACGAGTTGAACCGGCACGATGCGTCCGTAGGAAGCTATGATAGATAGGGAGTGCCTCGAGATCAGAGTTAAAGGATATTTACTGCACTTTCAGGAAACACAAATTTACCGCTGACTAATTCGATGTTAAAACGATAAAATATTCCTGGAAAGTTTTTGAATTGAAAATTCAGAGAACTGTTATTACAAAAATCGTTAAATGTTTACCTACTCACGTCTCTAGAACTAAAGGTTATTTATAAAACATCAACTAACTGCTCGAACGTTTACGCATCAATGACTTATTTCAGTGTCTATATAAATTATCATGTCCAAAGAGATTTCTATAAATAGTGTGTTTGTACGCCATGCGCAACATCCATGTGAATATTTGCACGGAAGCAATGCACCTAAACAAAGGGTAAACAAAAAATAACATTTAAACGTTGGGGCAATGGCCTCCAGCCCTTTGTGAAGCTCTATACAATTCCTGTTTCTGATACTCGTTTCACTTCATAATATATACGATCTAGAGTGATTTGAGTAATTTGACTAACAGGGAAACCCGCGCTGGTTTTCGAAACCTTAGAAAAACATGAATGAAAATCATCAACTACTACTACATATATGTTATTCCAGAGTATACTTCTTTGTTCACGCCATATCTTATCATTCATGCTAATGTTATCTGCTTTGCAAATTAATAAAATCATGTATTGAGTTTATTTTAACAACAGAATAGTATAGAACTTTAATAATTCAGTAAGTACTAACGCAGAACTTAATATACGTGTGTAATAAATTTACTTCACTGAAAATAATAGCTAAGCAAGAAAAACCCCAGATCATTGACGTCACTAACAAAAAGTCACCACACAGCTTTATGCTGAATAGTGAACATCAATAAAAAATGTTAAAACTAAATCACATACTATACTTTTAATTACAATCGTTTTTAAACTTTATTCTTTGCAGCGTAGAGTCTGCAAAGAATAAAGTTTAAAAACGAAGAGCAGCATATTTTTTCCGGGATATGGTGCCTACACTTGATAGACGAGGTAAATTATGAGTACAACCCATGCTTAGTTACAAGCAAAGGTTAACTTGACTTTCAAGGACGTATGCAATCAAAAACCATTACCTCGTAAAAAACTTAACACTACATATACATATTACGGAACTTTTAGTAATCATACTTTTATGTGTAGTAGGTATTGCCAAATTATTTTTATTACTAAATCAAATGTATTTCAGAAGGTGTACAGATAAAAGATTTAGGTAATATCTAGTAGTTCTAAGGTAATTAATAAATCTATAGACATGCTATCAAAAACCTATAAATCTATTTATACTTACTCCTTAATTTATTTTTTTTCCTATTGAACTGTTGCCTGAATTACTTGACTTCTAGTTTAAAGTTATTTTGATAACAGGCAAAAGTTCTAGCAATTGAGAACGAAAGGAAAATAAAACTGCATTTTAAGTGCTTTGTTATTACAAGACTACATTTTGTGTGAGTAAGTTTAAAGGCTTTCACAAGGTACGGTATTTGGGTTTCTGTTGCATCAATTATCTTCGCAATTAGTACTCCACCCACATAAAATTAAAATCAGTCAATTAATGTATGTCATTTTGTCATTAGGTACCTTGCCTTGTAAAAGAAAATAATATAATACTTAAGTACTGTTGACTAAATTTTTCACAAATTTATTACAGTTGTATCTGTGGTATTGTGATAATGTTACCAACAATAAACAAAAATAGCGGTTCACTAAGATCGACATTTGATAACATATACCGACATATGGCGACATCGATATGAAAAATAAATAAGTATCTATGCAGGTACTTTGAGGCAATTGAAAAATATTTTTCCAGGTCCGTGTATAGTATTGTTCTCTATAAGTCGATGTTTTATCGATTGATAATAAAAATATCAATGAAGTTGAACTCTACAAGTACGATAAGCTAATTTTTTTTAATATAAAACCCAAATACCTAAGTACAATCTTATGAAGACTGATAGGTGTTTGTTTGTGATTGAACTGAAATACATACTTATTTTTTTTTCTACATGGCTTCGCGCGGTTTATGCATTTAGCCAATATCAAGTGTTAAAATGTTTACAAATACTATAGCACTCGTGGTCAAAGTAATAGGGGAGGATGGGGGAATTGCGGACGCTGAAGGGAAATAACGCACAACATTCGTACTATTAGTAATAATCAGTCTGTCTTTATTAATTATTAATCTTTAGTTATACATCTACAAAAACAATTATACTTATTAAACGAGATCAATCAACAAATAGAATATTTTTAGCAAAAACAAAACCTTGTCTGTCCGTAATTACCCGTAGCGCTCGGGGTAAATTCGGACTGACCCTGGGTTAATTACGGACAGCATGGGGTATTTACGGACTAGGTCCACATCATATCATAAAAATCACAAGTAAAGCCTTTAGAAGAACTTCCTGCAGTGCAGTTCTCATGAGCCCCCACTTGTTACACTTAAAACACATAATCCAGTCTTCGGCGGGTGGATTACTGTACTTTTCCTGACAATAAATGCAAAATTAATCAACATTTCCTTCATTTTCAAAATTATTAGGAAGTTTTAACTTTTTTAGCTTTTTAGATGTAGTTATTTTCTTTTTCTTGAGCTTTTCTTTTCTTGTCTAATTTCTTTTGTTCCTTTTCTTCTAGATTCTTTTTTTCCGGTGTGCTGGTAAAAATGATGGAATGCTTTTTGTTTACTGACCGTTTGCTACGATGAATTTGTAGAGTTGGGACCTTTATTAAATCACTAAGCGGTACTGATGAAGATTGACTTGTTTGACTTGTCGTACTTTGGTTTTCGGACGTCCGTATTTACCCCGCTAGCCGTGTCTGCAATTAACCCAACTGGGTATTTTTAAATCAAAGAGAGAAATTTGTAGGTTATGAAAACGTTCCATAAAAACAAACATTGGCGATTCAAACTCCATTGACAAAGCTATCCATAGAAAATATCACTTTTTACCATCACTTAGTACACAGACCTGTCCCTCGAAAAAAACACTAAAAATTAGATCAATATACACTTTTTTTTTTAATTTTACCTACCTTTCAAACTGTTCGCAGCCGGCTGTCGTAAGTTTTTGCGTGGCACTAAAATAGCGGAAAGAAACAGACGACAGCACCGGGCTGCCGCGGGTAGAGGGAATGCGTAGATACTTGCTAGTCTGTATTTACCCCGCGTCCGCAATTCCCCCACTCTCCCCTAAATCACGTCAAAGTAAATGGCAGTCAAGTCAATTCCCCTTTCCCTATGTTTCAGTAAAAGTGTGGAAATGGACTTCTTGAGGGAACGTCGAAAGACACTTTCCGCTATTTTGTTTCACTTGCCAACACTTTTGCATGTTCCCGAACACTTAGTGGTTAATAATCCACCATCATTAGACACTAACATCCGCCACAACAAGGTTTTTAACAAGAAAAACAAAACTGCTAAAGTGACGCTTCCCGATCCCGCCAAAAAGTCCATAGGACTTTTAATAAAGTAAATAAAATAAAATCAATTTATCATCTCCCTTTCTATAGTGTCAAGTATTCAACAGTTGAATGGCTTAAAACTTTAAGTTATAACGATACTGAATTATTTTTGAAGACAATGTAGATTTACTGTTTATGATTCCATTTCTGGTAATAAATATATTAATTTTACACAACCTCTCCACACACACACACTCATATTCACTATACTCACCATGAGTTTCACTCGCTACACTTTAAACTTATTATTTTGTTACTGCTCTGGAAAATATGTCTGTATGCGTTGAGTATATAAAACAGCTTGTATTTTTTATAAAGAGCGCTGCACCTGAGATACAGGTCTCCTAGTTCAAGTGCAGATGTATTTTTATACAATTGATTGATTCTTCTATTATCGTAAGATTTTATAAAATTCTGTGTACAAAAATAATTTTTTGGTGCCAATAAATTATTATTATTATACAGCTGGTTGGTTGCACTCATCGGCAGAGAAGCAGCTGGATAGTAGGTACATATGCTTGTTTTTTTCTATAGAAGGACTCTAGCATTTCTATGGCAATAAATCACGCATTTATCCTGACCAACAAAATATATTGTTCGGCGTGACATTGCCTGTATGTAAGTAGGTGCAAATGCTATGCCGCACACAATAAAGAAATACAACTATGCAAAAATTTGAATCGTCTACTATGAGTATTAGACTTAGGTCTACTTTCCCAATGAGGCAAACTCCAAGCGAAAGTGACGCTAGATGCCTGTAAATATTGTGACTTATGTTTGCCTCGAAACGTGTGGTACTAAGGTTGTAACCTACGTTGTGATCTTAGCCTTACGTATTTAAATATAGGTTTTTCCCAAAACGTAAATAAAAAAAATACAAAAATCTTTCAAATCGATAAAGGTAAATATTATACAA